AGGAGAATGATACATAGCATGAAGTCCTGCCAACCCTTCCACATACGTGGTGGGATAGCTACTCGGAGGCAAAACTCTGAACATCTGTAATTTGTCTCAAAGTAGGGAGAAAACGGATTTAGCTGACTTGGGACAAATGTGTAAACCTATCTTCCTATGAGAAAAATTTAAGTGTCCCATTTGAATTATGTAATTCTTCATAGATTTTTTAAAAAAATCTCTGGAGAAATGGGAACCTAATTATTTGTAATGAATTATTTCGACAGATACTTAGTTCTACGCCCTGTCTTCTGGGAAGTACCAACTGAAAAGAGAACTTTTGTGCAATTTAAAGTGAGATGTTTACAAGCCTTTGAAAGTGTCAGTACAATAACACTTTCTATATAAAAGTGTACATCTTATGTGATTTATTCCTACTAATTGAAGTGCGCTACTGCCTGTGGTAAAGACTCTTATACCCAGAGCCTTTAAGTAACTGAGGAACAACCTGAAAAGTGGGTTTAGACCGCATCTCCACCCCTCACCATTTATTTCAATACTTCAATTGTGTCTCTCAATTTTTGTAATGCAATAAAATCAGTATCTAGATGGTTTTTAACTGTATTCTTTGAACAATGTTTCATGTGAAATAAACGTTATGGAATTTAAAAAAATTTTTTTTTGTTAGGGTCTGGCCGGTGACCTGGGCTTGTGAAAGAATTCGCAGTTAAGAGCAGGAGGAGAGAGAGGAAACGTATTTTACTTTGCGAAGGAAGGAAAGGGCCGGTGCACTGACTGGCAATAGGAGGGTGGAAGACGGGGTGACTTGCACTTTTGAGGAGCAAGCAGCTGCTTGTCTTGAAAAGTTACAGTTTGTTTGCTTTTCAGGAGACACCCAAGCGGATGCACTGAGGAAAAGTCTTACCAGCATTTTCCCCATGTCTGTAAAACAAACTTAGAACCAAAAGTTACAGAGTCCAAAAGGGAGAGGCCTGTCTGAGGGGGAGAGGGCGAGGAGGAGGGGTTCTTGTGAACCAGCCTGAAGCTGTTAGAACAGCAAGGGGGGCGGGTGCAGCCTTAAGCACAGCCCTCACCTGTCCGGCTGTTTGGATAGAGGCTGCTCCACGTTTAATTACCAGGTGCTTCCCATAAACTGTGGGAAAACCGAAACAAAGAAAAGGAGAGGCCTGTTTTCTGTCCTTACAATTTTCTTTCCTTTTTAAGCATCAGTTCCATTCCATGTCCCTACACTGTGTTCGCCCATTGGTCCGCGGGCGGGCACGCGGGCTGCTTCCATCTCTGGCCGTCGTGAACAGTGCTGTGTGGACGTGGGCGCACAGGCCTCTCCCAGGCCCTGCCTTCGGTTCTCTAGGGCGTGTTCCAGAGCGGAGCTGCCGATCGTGGGGTACTTCCACGCTTAGTTCTGAGGAACTGCCACGCTGTTTTATTGCATAGATCTCAGCCTGTGGGCCAGAACCGGCCCTGGGCACTCACCTGGCCCAGTCCTACCTGTGTGAGCTCCCAGCGCTGTGACTGAACCAGCCTTTGGGGTTTTATTGTCATTGTGATTGCACCTCAGCAGCACTTATCAGGGAACTTTGAAAACACAGGTTTAGCTCTGGCCGGTTTGGCTCAGCGGTTAGAGCGCCGGCCTGCGGTCCAGAGAGACCCGGGTTCGGTTCCCGCTAAGGGCACGTACTTCGGTTGCAGTTTGTCCCCGACCCTGGTTGGTCGTGCGGTGGCAGCCACTCAATGTGTCCCTTTCACATCGATGTTTCTCTCTCTCTGTCTCTTCCTCTCTCTCCCTCCCACTCTATCTGTACAAAAAATGGAAAAATGTCCTCGGGTGAGAATAAAAAAAAAAAGAAAGAAAACACAGGTTTATTACGGACAAGTGGAGGCTACCCAGCATGCCCAGGGCCACACGGCAAGGGTGCAGGAAGAGGGAGAGGGAGAGATCAGGGACCTGGAGTCTGCCTTTATTGGGGTCCGAGGGAGGGGTTGTTAGGTGGGAATTAGGGCGCAGGAAGGTAAAAGTGGGGTCACTCATGTGGTCAGTTATCCGGGTTACCCAGGCTTTCTACAAGGGGAACTTAAGAGGTGGGGGCTGCCTGGGTGCCCATCTAACTGTTTAGCTAGAAGCTCTTACAGGGCTGCCAATATGTCTATTTGAGATGGATTTCTTTGAAATGGATGTCTTAATATCAGGCACTTACATTACAATAAAAAAAGCTAACATCTGCCCTGGCCAGTTCGGCTCAGCGGTTAGAACGTCGGCCCCGGACCAGAGAGTCCCGGGTTTGGTTCCCGCCAAGGGCACGTACCTGGGTTGCAGTTTGTCTCCGGCCTCAATGTGCGTGGCAACCAGTTGATGTGTCTCTTTCACATCGATGTCTCTCTCTCCCCCTCTCTTTCTCTCCTGCTCTATCTGAAGATAAATGCAAAAAAAAAAAATGTTCTCGGGTGAGGATTAAAAAAAAAGCTAACATCAGGCGCTTACAACTTCATTTTTCATAGCAGCTCCCTTCCCCGATTTTCCATGCCAACTAACAGTGCACAGGGCTGTCCTCCAAACCTCACCAACACTTGTCCTTTTCTGGTTTGGGATGGCGGCCACCCCGTTGGTGTGAAGTGGCAGACTCACATTCTGAGCAGCTCTTTCGGTCTCCAGGGCAGAGAACAGAGAGCGCGCCTCACCAGGGCCTGGGAATTTGAATAGCAGAGCTCTGAGGAGGAACCTGGCCGGGGGCTGCCCCTTGCCTCCGTAAGACCGGAGCTGGGTGCTGGGAATGGTCGTCGTGGCTGCACGGTGGTGATGCCAAGCTGCTGAGGTCAACCGTGCCCTGGCACTGCATCTGGAGGATGCCTCCCTGCTGTCTTAAGTAGGCTGAGAAGGCCAGGCCCTGCACAGCAGGAGCAGAGGGCCCCGGGGCTCTCCTGTTTGGGTTGGACTCACTGCGACTCACCTCCAAAGCATCAGGTGATGCCTACATGTTTTTTGTTTTTTTTTATCCTTACCCGAGGATATTTTTCCATTTTTTGTACAGATAGAGTGGGAGGGAGAGAGAGGAAGGGAGAGAGAGAGAGAAACATCGACGTGAAGGGACACATCGAGTGGCTGCCACCCGCACGACAACCAGGGCCGGGGACAAACTGCAACCGAAGTATGTGCCCTTAGCGGAAACCGAACCCGGGTCTCTCCGGACCGCAGGCCGATGCTCTAACTGCTGAGCCAAACTGGCCAGGGCGATGCCTACATGTTTGTTTGCTGGAAACTCCTGAGCTGTCCCTGAGTCTCCTGGGACACTCTGGGCTCCAGGAGCGTTGGTTTCCCCCCTCGCAATACTTTATTGGCATAGTGTATACCTGGAGTAAAATGCACAGATCCTAGTTTGCACACAGGTGAAACAGCTATGTGAGCACCATCTAGATCAAGTTCCGGAACACTCCCAGCTCCCAGAAGACTCCTCCATGCCCCCCAGCCATTCTGCGCCCTCCGAGGTTCCTTGCGCACGCGGAGGTTCACAGGTGCGTGCTGTCTCACGGTGCCTTTGTACCGCTGGGGCCGCTCCCTCGAGTGCACACCGTCTCTGCTCCTTTCTCCTGTCGGTGCACATATACGCTGTTTCCTGTTTGGAGCTGCGGTGCGTAAAGCTGTCATGAACATATGCACACGTGTTTTCATCTCTCTTGAGTTGTTTTCCAAAGTCGTATTATTTTACACTCCGATAGGCAGGAATGGGTGCCACTGGTTCCATATCCCCATCAATGTTGAAATTGCCCCTGGTGTCCCTGCTGCCGAAGAGGATGGCAAAGCATTCCCCGTACACCGGTTTGGTTCCAGTTGATCCAGGGATATGATGGGGATGGAGGGTGGGCTGAGGGGACATTGACCTCAGTCTCTGGAGCATCTCCAAGAAGTCAGTCTTGGCAAATTCATCTAGACAAGGTTCAAGAAGGAAGAGAGGTACAGACACGTGTGTGATCCGGGGCACCGTCTACCCACTTGGCACTTCTCTAACCCTTAACTGCTCATTCAGGCTTGACTGGTAGCACGTTGCAAGGACCCGCCTGACTTCAGGTACATTTAGTGTCCTCACCATTCCGCTCCCCGTTCCCCCAACCCAGCCTAGCCTGCCAGTCTCTCTGTTCAATCAATTCCCCTAAGTGGGTGCTATAGCCAGTTAAAGGCAGTTCATGTAATATATTACCCTGACCTCCATGCCACTTGGAATGTTTCATTATGTCTGACTTCTCCTCTTCCTACTTACAACCCAGAAAGCAAAGGGAGAAAGGATGAGAGAGGAAGGAGAGAAGAAAGAGAAATTCACAGAGAGGGGGCTCAGAAGCGTCCAGGATACCACTGTAACACATCATCACCTCCATTAGGAGGTTCTCTCTTTGTAACATACTTCTTTCTGCATGATGATGTTTTTACATGAGGAATAGAATTTTAAAGGAGGGAGATACCTTTCTGAGAACCTAAGCACCCTTATAGAAGTCAGGCAGCCACTGTGTGACCTTGAACATGTCTCTGTGTGACCTTGAACATGTCTCTTAGCTTCCCTGAGCCTCAGTTTCTCTGTGTGTAAATGAGTATAACTGGGCCTCCAGCACCACCACCTCTGCTTCCTGTATGGCCCTGTCAAGCTCCTGTTGTTTTCTGGACGTTGTGATTGAACATGCTCAGGAGACACAGCCACACACCTATGGCAGCATCATGGACACTCGCCGTCATGTCAGTGTGGCCCGGCTCTTTGAACCTGTACATAAACAGAAAACACGTGGCCCAGCTCTTTGAACCTTACATGAACCGAGCACGATTCCGTCTGGGGTGGAACACAGAGGAGAGAGGAAGGAAGGTCACTGGCGTGGGAGTATTTCCTTTTGCGTCCCTGGGTCCTACCCTCGCCCCTCCCCCCAGCACGCCCCCCTGCTCTCTCTCTAGACCCGCTTCCTCCTGCCCCTGGCTCCTCCCCATTGAATAGCTGCCAAATTGTTTTGGTTTCTATTTCTCTGTAAAGTCCTGCCCCTTGCAGAGAACTGCCTGGCTGGTGTGAGCAGCAGCGGTGACCACAGAGGTGGTGGAGAGATGGCCTTTCGCAGTGCCCAGTCCCCCTTCGTGAACCCAGTGAGTTCCCGGCTGCGGGCACGGGCGGTGCCAGCCCAGCTGCCTTCCTCTCCAGGGAAGCAGCTCTGGGTCAGAGGAAACCACACTGGGTGGCAGGGGTGGAGGCGGGCATCCCAAAGGGAACAGGGAAGGGCAGAAATGCCCGAGGGGGCAATCCTCACACAACTTCTGCCCCAGGCGGGTCCCACCCGTGCCTCTCAGGACCGGAGGGGACGATGGTCACCGGGTCGTGCACTGGACAGATGTTGACCGAGGGCGCGCGTCATAGCTAGAAGCGCGGTGGTCTGTTCGAACGAGAGGGGCAGTCAGCAGGGCTTCCGGGCAGGGAGCGGCCCAGCCTGGGGCACTGACCTAGGAGATGGCCTCCCTGGCTTCACCATTTACTAGCCAGGCCACCGCAGGAGAGCTGCGTTTACCTCTCTGGGCCTCAGTTTCCACATCTGTGGAGCTTGGCCTGTGCTCCAGCAGCCCCGCTCACTACCCTGGTCCCTTCCCCTCTCAGGGTCATGCACACGCTACTGCCTCCTCTCGGAAGCTTCACTTCCTCCTAAGGGAGGTGGTTTCCTCCTCATTCTCAGAAAGTCTGTGTAACTCCCTGGATTCGGGTCCGCTTTCTCATGGGCTCGGAAGAGTCATGAGACTGAGACTCCATATGTCCAGTTCACAGCCGCACCCGGCCCCTGGCACGGTGCCTGGCCCCTGGGCCGGCCGCTAGCAAGGGCCGGAGGGAGCGGACAGAAGGGGGCAGGCCCACTGACTGGCTGCCTTCTTCTCCCTGCAGATCGTCCCCTTCTCTGGGACCATCCAAGGGGGCCTCCAGGACGGACTTCAGATCACTGTCAGTGGGACTGTTCTTCAGTCCCACGGAAGCAGGTACCTGGAACTGTTGCTCCCCAGCCCTGCCCTGAGCAGACCATGGCACCTGCAGCTCAGGCTGGCTCACCCGACACTCTCCAAGCTGCCCGTGCCTGGCTCAGGGGACGCTGGGGGAGCAGGGCTCGGCCCCTGCCCACACTGCCTGGCACCCCTGCCATCTGCCAATAGCATCTGGACACCATTAACGTAGACTCCCCATAGCCGCAGAGAGTGCAGGAGCTCACAGTCTAAGGCCAGCCCGGGGGCAGACCATTCTCGTCTAGGATTGAACTTGGCACACGAAGACCCAGAGATGCAAAAATGATACCTCCTTTATTTCTCAAAATTGCCTTCATTTAACTTACCCCAGGACACCTCTGAGAGTCCCCAGGAGACTCCAAGGAAAGTGAGGCACCCAGATCCCCCTAAACCCTGACATCAAGAGAATCTGAGACCTCATCTCCAAACCCCGCCTTCTCTCTCCTTCTCCCTCTGCCTCCCCTCCTCCCACCACCAGGGGGGCTTTCTACCCCCATCCTGCTGTGCCCTCTCCCTCGGGTGCTCCTGCAGTCTCCGCCCTGGGGCAGGGATTTTCAGGGGACACAGAAATGGGGCTGCAGGACCACAAAGGAAACAGTACATCCAGGGACACAGAAACAATAGTCTCTGTGTGAACAGGACGTGGATTGGCTTTTCTGGTTCCGAGTCACGGAGGCCCCTCTCCTGTCAGTGTCCCAGCGGGAAGGCTGGCTGGCTCTGGGCCACAGCAGCTCCCTGCCGCGAGGGTCCAGAGAGAGCCGGGGTTGAGGTCGGCACCCAGAGCTCGCCCCGGTCCACGGAGGAGTCAGACGGGCTCTGCAGGGACTGGGCAGAATGTCTGTCTGGGGCAACTGTGCTCGGTGCAGTGCCTGGCCCTGCGGGGACCCTTCCCTGAGTGCTGTGCGTTAGCTGGGGACACCAGAGGGACCCCAAGAAGCAGGCTGTGAAACACGCCGACTTCAGGGAAGGCTGGAGTAGACAGCGGGGCCTCGGCGGAGACCTCGGATTGGAGCTGGTTTTAGGGCCCGAGTCTGGGAAAAGGCAGAACAAGCATGTCTGGCGTCCTTTTGGGAGGCTGGCTCCCTGGAAGGTTCTCTTGTGTTCATTCCTCACCTTGGAGCCATGGCTCCACCCGAGGAGGTGATGGTGAGGCTTCCCTCCCAGGGAGAGACAGGAACGGAGATTTGCTATCGCGGGGGCTTCCTGAACATCACCTCTAATCATCCCCAAAGGAAGGGAGTCCCCGCCTGGGTAGTGAGGTTCAGGGTCACCTCACAGGACAAACAGTCCAGAGCTGGGGTCTGGGGCCAGGCCTGTGGACTGTGGGGCATCCCTCCCCCCCATGTGTGGGACACACGCCGACCTCCGGGAGGGGCAGACCCACGCCCCGGGAGAGCTGGGCTGTGCCCCACGCCTGCCCGAGACCCGTCTCCGTGGCACAGTCCATCGCCCACGCGCCTCTGTCTCTTCCTCCCGACTGCGCAGGCGCGGGCTGTCCTCTGAGCAGCGCGGGGCACGAGGCCCCCGCTTCTGGCCTGGTCCTCCACCTGCATCTGCGACACAAAGCTGTCACCCGTTTCCAAGACCTGTGCTTCCTGTTGCTGGTGTGGACGGTTTTCTCTACCCATTTCCCAAGTATTTTTAGAAAGTCACACTGGAGAGGGCAAAATGCAGTAAGTGCACAGAAACACACGAAGAGCAGATTGGGTGACAGAAAGGAAGGCAGCAACGTGAGGTGGGTGACGAGGTCCCAGACGCCGGCAGAGGCAGGGGCCTCCTCTCCGACCCTGGCAGTGAGCCAGACTCTGATCTCCCTCGGGCCAGGTTTGCTGTGAACTTCCAGATCGGCCACAGTGACTCGGACATTGCCTTCCACTTCAACCCTCGGTTTGAAGACGGAGGGTACGTGGTCTGCAACACGAAGCAGAGAGGAGGCTGGGGGTCGGAGGAGAGAAAGATGGAAAATCCCTTCCAGATGGGGATTCCCTTTGAGATCCGCTTCCTGGTGCAGAGCTCCCAATTCCAGGTGAGCAGGACACCCCCCCCCCCCCCGCCCCTGCGCCTGCCCCCTTCCCTATCAGGCCTGGTGGAAAGCCTTTAAATAATTACCCAAGCAATGTCATTATGCAGACAACAGGACCTCATACACCTTCACCTGCATCTACAGGGGCACCTGCTGCGACAATGACCAGGAAATAAGAGCTAGATAAATCACCAGAGCCCTTTGGCCTCGGGCTCCAAGTTAATCCCATTCCTCTGCTGTAGCCACTTGTCCTCTCCAGGTCCTTGAAAACATTTGCTTTTGGGTGACATTGTCACAGCCCTTATCCAGGATCTGGGAATGGCTTAGTTGTGCTTGGTGCTGTAATTGCTTTTGCAAACAGAGTGGTGCCGACGGACGGCTGTGTCTGTGCTTCTCTGTGTGAGCGTGGGTGTCCCCTGCCCTCAGTGTGCAGAGGGGACCCGGGGTCCCCTCTCCTCTGTGCCCCACAAGCATTTACGCACACTTAAATGTGCATATTTAAACAACACCCCAGGTGAGCTAAGATTGGGAGGACAAACCTCCTGCAATAAACAAACAACCGTAAGAACTAAGAAGCAACCACTAGACCCAGTGGTGGTTGGGTTTGGATGCACTTTAGATCACATGCGTGTTCTGTAACGGGAGCAGCTCTGAAGGCTGGTGCCCCAACCTACAGGGGATGGAGGTGAAAACCAGACACGTCTTAATTTCTAGAAGCAGGGGTCCTGGGGGCTCAGGTGCGCTCCCCGCCCTGGTCTTGGATCCCTCTCCTGAAATACGCACTCCTGTTGACAGGTGATGGTGAATGGAAATTTCTTTACTCAGTACGCACACCGCGTGCCCTTCCACCGCGTGGACACCATCTCTGTCACCGGCTCTGTGAGACTGTACCACATCAGCTTCCAGGTCAGACTGTACACCTGGCGCCTGTCCCAGGGGCTGGGTGCAGGGCCCTGTCTAGCTATGCTGAGGCCCTGCTGGGTGGGTCCAAAGGTACCAGCCAATCTCTCACACAGGTGACCCTGGGGACATACCTCCGGCTCCCCCATCCCGTCCTTCTTGTGTCCCGTCTCTGTCCGGACACCTGCCCAGCCTCCCTGTCTCCTACCACTCTTGTCTGCCTCTCTACTTCCCCCTGGTGAGGAGGCCATGTGGGTCCCGACAGAACCCGGCTTGGGCATCAAGCGACTCGAGCTCAGAATCCAGCTCTGCCATCGTCATCTGCTGTGGGATCTTAGACAAGTGGCTTTGCCTCTCGCAGCCTCAGTTTCCTCATCTGTGGAAGGGGCACAGTCACCGCCTCCCCACGGGTTTTACAGTTTTCGAATGTGTAAAAGGTCACATCTGAAAGGCCAGGAGGTTTTGCATTCCGGTGCTGTGGTGGCGATGACCGCACACCCATGTGTGTACACCTAATGCCACCCGACGGTACACTCAGAGGCGCTGAAGATGGGAGATTGTATGTGTATTTCACCAAAGTTTTTCAAGGTCTGGTGATATCACAAGGAAATCTGAATTTCTGGCTTTTTGTGAAAACTGGGAGGACAGGCCCACATTCCCGCAGGCCCAGGCGGCTGGCTCGGAGCTGTTGGTACCATTTCGGTACTTGCGTGCGCGCCCTGAGATGGGACAAGCACACAGTAGGCCCTCAACAAAAATGAGCTCCTTTCTCTTTGGTCCTCATCTCTCCCAACTCTGTCCCCTGCTCTGTCCTGCCTGCCTGGCTTCCTCCCTCCAGCAGGGCCGCCTTTCCACTCTTCCTTGGTGCCTTGTAGCTTCTCGTCACCCCAGGGCACCTTTGTTTTAACACAATGCTGGCCTTTCCACTCTTCCTTGGCGCCTCACAGCTTCTCGTCACCTCAGGGCACCTTTGTTTTAATTAACAGAACTCTCGTGCAGTCTATTCCCAGCCTGCCTTCTCCAAGACGCAATTCTCCCAGACTGCCTGTGGCCCACCCAAACCCAAGGGGCGCAAACCGAAAGTGAGTTCATCGTGGAGAACCTGGGAGGCTGGGGCTCTGAGAGAGGTAGTTCCAGCCAGCAGGCCGGCCAGGACCAAGGCTCCATCATGCCCACCCGAGGCTCCTAATCTCCGTCCACCAGGCACCCAGCGCCGGGACCTGGGAGATGCCCTTGGTTCTCCCCTCCCTCCCTGACGTCTCTCCAGTGCACCAATACTCTCCTTCCCGAAGCCACTGCCTGGGTCCAGGGCCTGACTCCCTCCTCACACTCACCCACTGACCCCTCCCCACCTCGCCCCCCAAGACCCTCACGCAGCCTCCACTGCTCACGCCAGGCCCTTTCCCGCCACCACACTTTTGCATCTGCTGTCCCGGTGCTGAAAGTCCCCTTTGCCACCTCACCCCCGCCAAGCCCTAACTGCCCTTCTATGCTCTGCATAAATGTCGCTCCTCAGGGGCACCCTCCCTGCCTGGCAGACCGCTGGCCGCCCCACCTGCCCCGTCCCCAGGGAACTCTGCGCCACACCTGTCACCGTGTCCTGTTGTAACTGTATTTACATGTCTGTCCTCATCACTCCACCCCTCCGGACCCACACCCGGAGCTTGGAACTGTGACTTGTCTCTGTGTCCCCAGCACTTCACACAGTGCCTGGATGCAGTGGGGACTCGACAAATGGATGAGGACTGTGCTTTGCAGCCAGTAGAAGGGGGACCAGGCAGGGCAAGAACAGTCTGCTGCGGGCAGGGTGGGGGTGGGCGTCTCGGACAGGAAAAGGAGCTGGGCCTGGCCCTTCCTCTGGCCATTTGGGCTCTGGGGCCAAGGGCAAGGGGTCTCTGCCCAGCCTTCCTGTGGCCCAGTGCGGGCAGGGCACGTGCCACCTGCCACGCTGACCTTAGGACTGGTGTAGCTCCAGGGGGCCTTTGCAGGGCAGCCGGACCTTGGCCCTGGTCTGGGGAGGGCAGGGTGTGCAGGATACAACCAGACACAACTGGATACCGTTCTGTGTTTTATCGCTTGCTACCTGGACAGACGGGCAAGTCGCTTAACCTTTCTGAGCCTGGTTGTCTCACTTAGCAAAACAGAAGCTAAGGATGCCTCTCTCGTAAAGGACTGGAGCCAGAGCTTGGCACCCCGGAGGCCTCGTCAATGCTAGTTTTCACCCTCTGGGTAAAGTAGGGCACTGGAAGCAATGGTTCTGCCTCTGGGAGCCGAGGTCAGCTGTCTGTTCCGTCCAGACCCAGCCTTCTGTCTCAGGGGAGCCGTGGGGATGTTCCCTCTCCTCCACCCCACCCCCACTCTGTTGTATAACCACAGTGGACCTGGGATGGTGGCGAGGGTCTGGGCACCGCGGGCTCTGGAAGGCTTGCTTGGGAGCAGGAAGGAAGCGAGCAAGTCTGGGGAGGATCTCTCAGCACTTTCTGCTGTCATCTCCCCCTCGGGTGGCACCAATGTTAACCACCATTTTGATTTTCTCGTCCCCTCCAGCCTCCGGGTTTCTGGCCGGCCAACCCAGCTCCCGTTGTAAGTGTCTCGCTCTCTCTGCGGAACCTCTTCATTGTGGTTCTACCTGTGGGTGAGAAGGAGGAGGCAGGGCCAGGTGCTAGGCCTCTGCCACAGGGCGACTGGGGCAGCTGGGGCCAGACCGGCGACCATCTGCCTGACCACCGTGGTGGTGGTGGTGGGAGGGTTTGGGGCCGGAGTGTTTGGATGGCCTGGTGAATTGGGAAATGAACTGAATTGCCCAAGCCCCTGCCATTCTGTGGACAGCCACAGGAGACCCATTCACTTCCTCCTGCTATGCAAAGCCGTGCTAGAGAAACTCGGCTGAGAAGAAAGATGGGACAACAGGTCACAACGGAAGCCATATTTCCAATCCAGAAGAAACTTTTGCCCCTACCTCATCCTCTTAAGAGGAGAAACAGCCCTGGCCGGTTTGGCTCAGCGGTTAGAGTATCGGCCTGCGGTCCGGAGAAACCCGGGTTCGGTTCCTGCTAAGGGCACGTACCTCGGTTGCAGTTTGTCCCCGGCCCTGATTGGGTCGTGTGGGTGGCGACCACTCGATGTGTCCCTTTTACGTCAATGTTTCTCTCTCTCTCTCTCTCTCTCCCCCCCCCCCCCCCATTCTATCTGAACAAAATATCAAAACATGTCTTCGGGTGAGGATTAAAAAAAAAAAAAAAAATCAAGAAGAGAAACATCCTCCAATTTTCAGAGCCTGGTCTGGGCTATTGAACTGGTTACCCCCCAGAGCGCTCGAAGGATGTGTGTTGGGTGGCGCCCTCTAGTGGCAGGTGGTGATCTTCACGCTGGTAAGAGCTGGTGAAAACCCGTTTCTATCTTCCAGACGCAAACGGTCATCCACACGGTGCAGAGCGCCCCTGGACAAATGTTCCCTGTAAGTCTGCGAGCTCCAGTCAGCTCCCAGTCCTCATCCCCCGTCACCAAAGACTGAATGCGCCAGTCCCAGGGAAGGAACCAAAGAAGTTTAGCGAGGAGGATGGGAACATTTGGGCCTGGGCCCTTGCTCAGGAGACATGCCAGTCAAACCCCCTTGGGTCAGCAAAGATTCTAGATCAGGCTGGCTCTACCCAGAGGCCCAAGAGGCAGGACCCTTGGGACCAGCAGGAAAACGGGTCCTTCTGTTACTGAGAAGGGAGTGCAGTGACCCCCGCGTCTGGATCTGAGGCCCTGCATCCTCATGTCCCCAAGATGTCACTGTTGGTCACAGACTTAAGCTACTGCTTCTCTCCCTCCTGCTGGTACAAGTCAGATGGGAGCCCTGGAGTCAGTGCAGCTGCCTGCGGAGGGGTTGAGGGCAGGTGACCCCGATGGGGTCTGGGACTGTGGCAGGAAGTCCCACCAAGGCTGACATGTGTGAGAGGGAAGGTGAGTGGGAGGATCCAGGGGCTGAGGCTTCCCCCGGGAGCATCCCCTCTAGAGAGTGTGGGGGCCCGGCTGTGGGCACAATCCCACACTGAATCCCCTGGTGTCTTGTCGACAGAACCCTGTGATCCCATCTGTGATGTACTCCAGCCCCACCTACGTGAGTGATTTCTCAGGGAGGGCGGAGGTGTGGTTGTGCCGGGCAGCGTGGGGGGCGGAGGGCAGCTCACAGCACTAAAAGCAGTCCTTTGGTAAGCTCGAGTTCTTCAAGCGTCCAAGTCAATTAGAAGGCTGTTGAGAGGAGCTCTCCCCTCCAGAATGGTCCCTTCATCACGAGCATAGCATGTGGCCTGCCCATCTCAGCCCGAGTGTCTCTTTGTGTCCAGCCGACGTTTAAGCCCATTAATTTGAGGAACACTAGAGAATTTTCCTTTAGCATTTACTAACCAAGCAAAGATATCACGATTCTTTCTTGAACAGACATGACTCACAGGCACAGTTGCCAGACTCAGTTGACAGTCCAAATTCATGGAAATGGGCAGAAAGTTCCCCTACGGCGGCCTCTGCTCTGGCTGCCGCTGACTGCCCAGCCCCTTTCCTCCCGACAGCCGATGCCCTTCTTCACCTCCATCCCGGGTGGGCTGTACCCTTCCAAGAGCATCATCGTGTCGGGCACCATCCTGCCCAGCGCTCAGAGGTAAGCCTGGGCTCTTGGGAAGGAGAGATACCCCAAGGCCATCTGGCCTTCCCCCTGGCTCTGGGCAGGCTGGGGCGGGGGCAGAGCTCAGTGGGCAGAGCCGATCTGTGTGAGCTGCCCGACCCCAGGTTCCACATCAACCTGTGCTCCGGGAAGGACATCGCCTTCCACCTGAACCCGCGTTTCGATGAGTACGCCGTGGTCCGCAACACGAAGATCAACGACTTGTGGGGGGCCGAGGAGCGCGGCCTGAACCGAAAAATGCCCTTTGTCCAAGGCCAGAGCTTCCTGGTAAGGCTCCGCAGGTTGGAGCTCCACGGGGCTCCGAGGGGCACAGGAGCAGGGGCGGAGGGTGTCTGGGGGCACCTTGAACAGGACGGGAGCTGAGGCCGCTGGGGTGAGGGCTGGGCCCAGAAGAAGAGAATGTGTTCAACAAACTATTGTTACTATGGTTTTATTATTACTGCCCCACATAAAATAGGGGGTGGTACCTGCTGTCTCCAGAGGGAAAAACCTCTCAAGTGCAGGTTCCTTGCCTGAGGTCGCACCGCCAGTAAGTGTCAGATCGAACCCACAAATGAGGTGTCATTCACTCACTCACTCGTTCATCCAAGTCATTCAGCAGATCTATTATCAAGGCCCACTTTGGGCAGGAAGGAGTTCAGGTACTGGGGGACAGCAGTGAAGCAGGCAAACCAGGGCCTGCCCCCAAAGTGTACAGTCTCGGTGCGGGAGGATCACTGCAGGTCACAGCAGGTGCTAGCGAGAGAAGAATGGCCTGGGCAGGGACCAACTGCCTTAGACGGGGACAGCTCCCTGAGGCCACAGTGCCGTGGAGGCCTCAGTGATAGAAGGAGCCCACCCCACAAAGATCCGAGGGGTGCATTCCCAGCAGGCATCGGAGGGAGCAGCTATTATTGCAAAAGCGAGAGTCATGGGTGTGGCCTGTCCAGAAATGGGGAGGGTGGTGAGGCTGGGGCCCGGATCACAGAGCAGGTGTTCTCAACCCTGATTACAGATTCAAACCACCTGGAGAGATTAAAAAGGAAAACTCAATACCTGGCCCTACCCCAGGCCAGGGAGGGGTTGAGCCTGGGCATCCTATTTTTTTTTTATCCTCACCCAAGGACATATTTGCATTCATCATCAGATAGAGTGGGAGGGAGAGAGGGAGGAAGAAAGAGAGAGAAACATTGACATGAGAGAGACATATCGAGTGGTTGCCACCCACACGACCCCAACTGGGGTGGGGACAAACTGCAACCGAGGTACATGCCCTTAGTGGGAACCGAATCCGGGATACTCTGGTCTGCAGGCCAACGCTCTAATTGTTGAGCCAAACCAGCCAGGTCAGGCATCCATATTTTTAAATAGGCCCTAATACTTCTCACCCAAGATTGAAAAGCACCGATGTCGGGCTTTGAGGGCCATGGAACAGAGTTTGGGTTTCAATACAGTGTGTTTGGAGCCAGACAGCAGTATACTTTGATTTATAGATAGCTGTGTGACTTTGAGCAAGTGACTTGATGGCTCTGGGCCTCAGTTTTCTCATCGAAAAAATGGGGCTTCTCACAATATCAGTCTAACAGAGATGTCGGAATGAAAGGACAGCGTGTTAAGTGTGCTTCGAGTGCTAGGTATTGTGATGAGGATGATGACGTTTTACAGATGAGCTTGGACTCTTTCGGAGAATGTTAGGGGTGAGATCAGACAAGTTAGGAGGTGGTCGCTGCGGGAGTGCAGGCGCGGCGCACTCCTGTGTGCCGGGTACTAGGAACATGGGTGGCACAAACCAGAGTTCCTGCCCCTAGAGGCTCAGGGTCTGGGTGGAGTGAGGATAGGGGAGGGGGACATGACTGAGGGGCACCTGACTTGACTAGGGGATGGTCAGGAGGTGGGGAAGGCAGGGAAGGCTTGCAGGAGGCAGGTGGATCCGGAACAAGGGTTCACTGTCATCTGTGGGGGCAAGGTGTGCAGAGTGGGGAGCCTGGGGAAGGGCAGTCTGTGGCCAGGGAACAGAATATGTAGAAGGCCAGGAAGGAGAGCACGCGGTGTGTTCATGCAGAGCGAATCCTTCCGTGTGACCAGAATGCAGGGGCGGAGCTTGCTTACTTAATGTTTGAGGAAGACAGGAAGGAGGGGGCGGGGGGACAGCAGCCTGTATTTGGGTTTGAGGACTTCCCAAGTGAAGTGCCAGTGACACGGCCTGTCTGTCCAGGTGTGGATCATGTGTGAAGGTCAATACCTCACGGTGGCCGTGGACGGTCAGCACCTGTGTAACTACTACCACCGCCTGAAGAACCTGCCCGCCATCAACAGCCTGGAAGTGGCAGGTGACGTCCAGCTGACCCACGTGCAGACATAGGCGGGATTCCTGGCCCTGGGGACACCGGCTGGAGCATGTTGCTGTCTGGATCCGCTCTTCACCTCCACCTTCCCTGCCCCCGCGCAGCCCCAGCCCCAGCCCCTCCCAGCCCGCCGAGGATCTGGGCTTTTCTGCAGAGACCAGGTCCTCTGGCCCTGCTTCTGGCTGCAGCCATCCTGGAGTGGAGAAGGCGGCTGGCTGGGGCTGCCTGCCTCTGTCTGGCAGCACCTGGGGCTCCAGCTGCCCCAGTCCTGTCATCCGAGGAGAGGGGTGTTCTGTGCAGGCTGAAACCCCATGTCCAGTCCCCTCCGCAGAAAGGGAGCGTCCTGAGCCTTCCTGAGCTCCCAGCCCAGGCCGACCCCTGTCAACCTCTTGACCCCATTCCCACCCTCCATTCAAGTCCACCTCAGGCTCAGGCCACCAGCTGGTCACTCACAGGCGAGGCAGTCCCCCCTGCTCCTCCTTTTCCAACCTTTAACCTTTCCTTGCACCCCGTACCAACCCTTCCCCCACTCCAGGAAAGTGCCCCAGATTGACACCTGCTGGTCTCCACCAATTGCCAGGACCTTTTTCCGCTGGGGGCTTCCCCCTTCCCCAGTGTCCTTCAAATGAAGAGAAAGAACAATCCGAGTGGACACAGATGCACAGGGTGGTCGTGGTTTATTCAGTGTGTTTGGAGACATATGGTTTCTGAAATTGGTGTGTGTGGGGGGGTCCTGATCCATTTCTGATCTCAGTGGGTACCCCTAAATCCCACAAGAGTGTGGGAGAAAGCAGCTGGCCTCAGGCGTTTTGGACAAGAATCTCTGACAGGAAGCTGGGTAACAGGTGAACCCAGGAAACAGCCCCATGCTTGTGAGATGGGCCAAGGGCTGGGCCAGAGTCTGGAGGACCACGGCAGGGCCAGGCAGCCAGATGGCAGGGCCGGCTCAACAGAACCCGTGTCCCAGTGGGAGGAGGTGCAGCTGAGGACAGAGAAGCTGACTCAGAAGATCGGCTTGTTTGTGTTGTGTGGGTCCCCCCGCATCAGGGGTTAGGGTGTAGTAGAGAAAGTGGCTCAGAGTGTGGGGTTCTGCCAGCTGCTAGGCCAGTGCAGGGGGACCCAGGTTCAGGTCTACATGATGCCAACACACCCTGCTAACTCCATCGAGAATCCAGTGCCTCAGGAACCAGGGTGCAGGCTCAAAGCCTAGTCCTAGAACCAGCAGTACCTACAGCACCAGGTGCTTGTTAGAAATGCAGAATCTTGGGCCCCGCCGCAGACCTGAATCAGAGTCTGCCCTGGAACCAGGACCCAGGAGTTCTGTGTGCACGGCAGCGTGTGAGAGACACTGGTCCAGGTGACCGTGTTCCTGACCACCGTTGTCCTGATGCACTGCTGGGACACTGCAGGTCAGCATGGCCCCTGCACCCCCACCACCCTATCTGAGTAGGGGCCAGGGGGCCAGTGAAACAGGCCAAACCCAAGCTGGGAGCCAGATTTTGCCAGACCCCCACTTGGCCCCTAGCTGAGCTCCTTCCTGTTCCCACTGGGAGAAGGAAACACGGCCCAGTCCCTTCAGAAACCTTCCCCGCGGAAGATGTGCGTCCTTCCCTCGGCCAAGTCCTGGACACGGAGCCCGGCCTCACGGGCCTTGTCATCCAGGTGCCAAATCACGCTGGCCAAGCTCTCGTGAGGCAGGAGGCCCAGAGCAACGTGCAGTGACTGTGGACAGGGCCTCCCCTGAGGCGGGGCCTCCTGTGCGGCATCGCACCCGCCACCGCCCTGCCTCCTGGGGCGGCTCAGCGGAGGCCTGTGCCCCCTCCGCCCCATCGCGGGTTCTCAGACGTGCACTTCGTGTGCTGCCCTCGTGCCCACTGCAGAGGAGACGCACGGCCAAGCTGGCACAGCCCTCTGTGGGGGATTTTTGTCCAGGCTGTGGCACCCACCAGTCCCCAACTCCATAGCTTATGGAACACACGCACACATACAATGTGATTAAAATAAAATGTATTTCATATAAATATCTCCATCAAGGAGTCATACAGGAAAGGCCTACATGGCCCTCAGGGGCTGACTAGGGTTTTTTTTGCGTGTGTGTGTTTTAAATATAAAGGCATAAATAACTGTACACGGGAGAAGGGCGGGGCTAAATACAGAGCAGGGCAACATTGCCCCTGGTGGTCCCTCGCGGTGGTGCAGTCAGACAGGGTCCATCCTTCTCACCCACTGGCCAGGCCTCGCATTGCAGACTTACTCTCCAAAAGACTAGGGACACCCCAGTTCTCTATTATCCAGGGGAGGACGGGTGGACTCAAAGGAGACAAGAGGTTCCACCCAGTCCAGGCTGCTACTTGGTAGCAAGTCAAGTAAAGGGGGAAGGAGATAGAGAAATAAGATGTGAGGCTTGGGGAGATAATTTCCCACCAGCTCCCCGGACCCTGTGACCTCCAGTAACGGTGACTTGGCCCCATCCTGAAATTCTGCAGCCGCAGCTTTAACACCTCCTGTGGGCTGCTGGAGCTCTGGGATCACCAGGCGGCCCCGCCGCCCCGTCCTTTCTCACCTTGTAGGGCACTACAGCACTGAAGATATCTTCGTGATAGCGCTTCTGGCTCTTTAAGGGAAGACAGATCAAGGTGTCAGCTCTGCTGGTCCAGCCACCTCTCATTCACCAGGTCCAGGCTGGAAGAAGCTCCTGGGTCCCCGGCTTCCCTCTCACTCGTACACTCGTGAGCCGTCTGTCTTCCCAGCTGTCACGCTTGGATGACCCTGGATCTCACTTAGCCTCTGACTCCCACTGCGGCCTGCTCTGGTGCGGAGCGCCAACACCTTTCCAGGCTTTGTGGCGGACAGTACAGCCTGCCTAGCGCTCGTCCCACAGGGTGCTCCTGGCAGTGCGGGCTGAGGTAAACACGTTTGGTGCGTGCTACATGCTGTCTCCCAGGTTCAAAGCGTCTTTACGCAGCGGCGCATGTTAGAGGCTCTGAAAGTCTCACCGTAAAGCAATGTGTCAGCCTTTCTTCAGCTGAGCAACCAGACCAGGGCATACAGAGGGCCTCTACCAGCCCAGCCACCTCTAGGGTTGCCTTGACGTCCAGAACTGTTCTGAGTCTGACTCCCCGAGTCCTGACTCCCCTAGTCCTGGCTCCCTGGCCCGTGCCCTTGACCTGCATCCGTAGCCCACACACCAGCTGCCATACCTTAAGCTGGAAGAAATAGTCCTCGACCTGCTCCTCACTCAGGCTCAGCTTGGCAGCCACCAGCTGCTTCAGGGTATGGGCCACATCCCGGGCCATGTGCACGTCCCCACAGACATAGAGGTGGCCTTGCTCTCTGTGGAGCATGTGGAGCACCTCGCCGGCCAGCTGCTGCTGAAGGATGTCTTGAACGTAGACCTGAAGCCAGAGGAGACGGTGAGTCCCGGTCCCTGCTACTGGCCTGGGGCTGGAGAGATGAATGCTGGCCAGAGCCCTGCCCTTGAGGAGCTGACAGTCCAGTGGGGCTCCCAGATGCACCCTGAATTCACCATGCTTCAAAGAGGCATCAATCAAGCCACTTGCCCTACCCAGGGCTCTGAGGCCCATCTGCCTCCCCCTAGAAAAAGAGTTCTCTCAGCGCAGACCGTCTGCCGAATCCCCACCAGAGGACGGTTGCTGCATTACCTTGGGCTGGCCAGGCAGTCGAGAATAGGCTGTGTGCACCCCATGCAGCACCCCCTTCCGGGCCATCTCTAACATCTCCTCCTGATAGAGGTGGTCCTCGTCTGGGCGCCGGCACCCGAACACCAGGGTCATGCGGCCGCCTTGGAGCCCTGCAAGACCAAGCAGGCTGCAGTTACCTGAGTGGCCACCAGAGGGCGGGCGCCAAGGCCTGACAAGTTGGGCACCCAACCTGAATTCTCATTTCCTCTCCACAAGTATCCTATCTAGTACTTTCCCCATTTCACAGATGAAAAAGCTCATGCCCAGGGCATTCATATCACTTGTCCACACAGGCTGAGGCAAACGGGACAGGGACCAAGAAATGGTGCTCCCCATTCCACACCTAGGAGTCTCCCCAGCAGTACCTTTGTGCTCAATGTCATGGAGCCGCTGCTGCCAGAAACTGCGGAAGGGGGCAATGCCCGTGCCAGGCCCAATGAGGATGCAAGGACGGGAGGGGTCCTCAGGGAGCTGGAAGCCGCTGGCACTGAAGGGGACAGAAAGAGATAGACCTAGTCCTCAGACACCGTGGGCTGGATGTACATACAGGACAGGGGCTGGGGAGCTGGGGGTGTGGCCAGGGGGTGCTGTTGGGGGATGTGGAGAAGACAGTGAGCTCAAATTTGATTCCCAAGTCCTGCAAGCTGCTTCATTTCCCCTGACCAGACACACCACCACCTTGCCCTGGGGTCCTTTTGAAAGAGGCTGAGCCTCATTGTACTCTGTGCCCATCACCACTGTCATCTCCATCCCTGCTAGAGACTTGGTCACGTTCTACAGCCGGGAGATAGAATGGAGAGGCCCTGTGTGACCTCAATGCCTTCTTTATGGCCCAGGCATCCAGATTGGCACCGAAACCCAGATCTCTCCCTTCCACCCCAAGCTTCCAAAGCCAGCGGCCCCACAACAGAGCGTGGAGGGGGTGCTTACCTTCGTACAAAACAGGGCACTGGGTCTTGGGGCTTCAGGCTGCTGAGCCATGTACTGCAGACACCGTGGTGCAGGGGACCCTGGCCATCTGCAAGGGTAGCACAGAGCTGACCAACACGGCCCCGCACCGCGAGCGTGAACCACCCCAGTGGCTCCTCCCACACTGATGCGCCTCCGTGAACTCTGTGGGCTTTCACGTGGGAGCTGTTTTCTCTTCGTTCTGAGATCTACCCTCTGTATATCCAGAGCTGGTGAAGCTCAAAGGGACTTAGAGAGGGTGCAGGCCTCTCCTTTGCCGCTGCAGAAATTGGTCTCAGAGGGACAGTGACTTGCACGAGGTCACTCAGGTAGGAGTAGAATCAGGCCACGGCCCCGCTTCCCTGACTCCTCCAGCGCTCCTTCTAAGAGTTTCTCCAGGGACCCTCCCAGACCCTACTCGGCTCCAGTGACAGTTGCTCAAAGTGGCCGCTGAGGGTGCCACAGTCACTGTCCCAGAGGTGTCTTCACAAATACAGGCCGCACTGGAAGGAAGCGGGTGATGGACAACCTCCTGAGCACTCCAGTCTGTTCTGACATCTGTGTGCGGCCCCTCCTGGGCTTGGGGAAACCCCAGCCTTTTCTGGGGCGCATTCCCTTCCCAAGGACCCAGAATTTAAAGGGACCTCCAGCCAGCCTGAGAAGTCCCGTGGTTTTCTCTGGAAGGAATCTCTCTCACAGGACGTGCCTGCCCTCCTGTCCTGGTCTGAGGACCGAGACCGATATTCTCTAGCACAGCCGGTCGTCTCTGCGCAGCCTCTAGAATGTGTGACGGCGCTTCTCAGAGCACAGAGGGCAATGCTCAGTGGCTGAGCGCAAGCAGGGGCACGGTCCAGCCAGTGGAGCAGTCACACCCAACTGGACAAGGTCTCGGACTTTCCAGTCTGTGTCAGCCATCCCCCACCCTCTGCCCTCATAGCACCCTGCACATTCCTTCTCAGCACCTACAAAACGACAAGTGTCTATTTCTGTGGGCCTCTCTCCATCGCACCCTCCAGAGGGGAAGCTCCATGAGGACAGAGGCTACAGGTGCTGTGTCCGCACTGACCGTGGTGCTGAGTGCAGAGAAGCGTGAGACAAATCCACGCTGCATGCGTGAGCGAAGGAACGAACGCTCAAGGCAGAATCACGCCTGAGCTCAGGCTGGACTGTCAGGAAGACTAAGAGTCGTTGGGCTCCCACGAAGCATAGGGTGCTTTCCACATTTGATCTCGTTAAGTTGTCCCAACACTAGTGGGACTGTAAAGTGGAGTCGGGTGGGTGAGAATGTGAACTCAGCAGACCACCTGGGTTTGAATCTCAGTTCTCTACTTGCTAATGGTGTGACCTGGAACAAGTGTCTGTGCCTCCGTTCCCTCACCTGTAAAATGCACCCGGCACCCATCTCACACGATGACCGATAATATGCATACAAAGGGGCGAGCACAGTGCCTGGTTCAGAGTAATCTCTCCCACACGCTTCCTATTGCTATGAAAACTCTGGAAGGTGGGTGTTTGACCGGCGAGGAGACCAGAGCTCAGCCATGTTGAACAGCGGCCCCGGAAACAGCAGGGGTGGCTGCTCCGAGCCTCTGCCTCAGCCTCACCTCGGGTGCGGTAGGTGAGCACGGCCACGGTAAGGTGGACCTCTGTGGGTGTGCGGTCCCTGGAGGAGCTGATGGAGTAGTACCGGGGTTTCAGGACAGGGAGCTGGGAGAGCAGGAAGCTGGCGGATACCCGCAGGGACGGGAACTCCTCCAGCACCTCCAGGAAGGTGGGACTGTTGGTGAACTTCCACTTGTTGTACTCTGAGGGCTGGAAGGTAAGGACAGTGTGAGCGGCTCGGGGCACCTGCCCTACACGGAGGGAAGAGGCTGTCACAGTCCAGCGTTCACTCATTATTCATTCTCTCTCTCACTCACTCTGTCCTCCCCCAGCAAACACTTTGCAGTGCCCGGCGCTGTCCAGGGTGCTGAGACTACCAACTGGAGGGGAAACATTTCCTGTCCTGGAAGAACTCCGGCCAGTGAATAAACAGCATTCATCTAACTTGTGTGCTTGGAACTTCACTGCCAGCAACTTGTGAGCAGAAGCCAAATCTTTATTGTGATCTCATTTGGGGCAGGGCTTTGGAATCCCACAGGCCTGGGTTCAAATCTCGGCTGGAGGCCGTGACTGGATGCTTGCTTTAGAGCTGCGGGATCTTGTCCCAACTCCTTAATCTTTGTGAGGTGAGGATAGCATCACCTACTTTGTGGGGATGTTGTGAGAATTTAGGGAGAAAATGTGTGCCAAGGTCGTGTAGCACAGCCTCGGGATAATTAATGGCAGTGAAGGTGGCTGGAATCATAATAATTAGCAATAATGATGCTGCAGTAATGACACCCAGTGTTTTTTTGCAAAGACTTGGGCCTGGAAAGTTGCAGGTGAGTCCATGCATTCTCTTGTCAATTTAGTAATTCAACTACCCATCTGTCACTCTATCCATTTATCCATTCATCCTTACCATCCACCCTCCAACATTTTCTAAGTCCTAGGCTTATTCCAGGTTTGGGGAATACAAAGACAGACAAGACATAGACACTCTCTTTTTCTAGCTAATTTCTAAGGATATGAACTTCGGTTGCATCCTTCAGACGCTCAGAAAAATCCAGTTTACTCAATGCTATTGTGTCCTAGAGCTGGGATGGGAGAGGGTGTCGCGCCCACCAGACTTTGATGAGTTTCACATGGGACCCCCTTGGAGGTGAAAGGCCAGCTCTGAGCTCTGGCTTCCAGCAACCATAGGACCTGCCCCCACCTCACCCACCAGCCCCAAACTTCACCTGGCACAGGGTCTGTAGCCTCTGCCTCTCGGCCTCTTCTGTGGCCAGCTGGGCCAGCTTTCGGAGCAGCAGCTGGGTTGGAGGGGTGGTGATGTCCAGGAAGTAGGCAAGGGCCTGGCTGAGCGAGCAGGGGGGCAGCCGCTTGTCCTGGACCCAGTAGCTGCCTAAAAAGAAGTCAGGATGGAAAAAAATCCCCATTTGTGTTTTCCAAAGGGTAATGAGGCCACTGGGGCAGACACCCTCCACCCTCCAGCTGCAGGGGAGAGAAGACACTGAAGTTCTGGCTCCAGGAACAGCAACAGGGCTCACGTGCCCAACTCACGTGCAGGAAGATGGTGCTCAGAGAGAGGCTGCAGGGAAGGCTGATCAACAGCCCTCCCAAGGACACCCACAGTGACACACCCTATAAACTAACTGTGCACCAGAGTCCAGTCCCTCTCTCACCCACACCTGACACCCACCGGTGAATTACAGACTCACAGGGACTAAATCCACCGAAGACTGATGTACACACCAGAGGCCAGTTGTTCATTTAGAGAAAAGCCCATGCCCACAGTCCCCTGGGGTCCTGTACCAGGAGGTGCTAGGAGAGCAGCCAAGTGAGGTGGCGGGTCTCAAGGAGTCCCAAGGGCAGTACACAGGGCAGTCACAGCATGGATCCTGGGGCCAATAGATATGGGTTCAAACTCTGGCTGCACACATACTTGCTGTGTGACTGAACTCCCTGAGCCTTAGGTTCCCCCTCTGTGAAATGGATGTCATGAGAAAAGTCTCACTGGGGTTGTATGAGAATTGAATGAAATAGTGCAGTATGATAGTTGGTACAATGTCTGGGATATGGGTGCTCAATAAATCTTAGGTAAAAATGTTAGTATTACAGCCCTGGCTGGTTTGGCTCAGTGGTTAGAGTGTTGGCCCACAGACCAAAGAGGAGCAGGTTCGATTCCAGCCAGGGGCACGTACCTCGGTTGCAATTCGTCCCCAGCACTGGTTGAGGTCATGCGGGAGGCAACCAGCTGATGTGTCTCTTTCACATCAACGTTCCTCTCTCTCCCTCCTACTCTATCTGAAGATAAATGGGAAAAGATCCTCAGGTGAGGATTTGAAAAAGTATATACATATTAGTATTACACTGTTTCATCTGGACCCCAGGTCTGATGAACCACACCTGTCTCCCTACAGTCACAAGCACATCTCTGTCCTCTCGTCCCCTCGTTTCAGGCTCTCTCGCGTCTTCTGGACAGTGGGGTACAATGCCAGACTTGCTTTTCCAAACTGTGCTTTCCTGTTTTGGCCACTCTCTCTAGGGGGACACATTCTTGAAGGTGTCGTTGTCACTGCGGAAGGTAAGGCCAGAGAGCTAGTCCTACGGCTGGGAGGCCTGCGATTGTAGATGTCATTAGCTCACCTCTCCTAGTGCCTGTCACCCTGTGCTGTGCTCACCGCATAGACTGAGAGCCTCCCCTTGGCACAGGAAGGGGTGCCCTGGACCCTCCCTAGGACGACGTCTTCTCCCCAGTGAGGATGGCCCGGAGGAAGCACAGTCTCCTGGTCACCCATGGCCCTGCCCCCCGCTCATCGCCCAGGGAAGTGGCCCACCCTGATGGGAATACCTCAGACCCCTGGTGGGGAGGCAGCATGAAATTAGAAGGTCATGAAAATGTGAGGAGGTTATATATTTGGGATGTAAAGGGACTCAGAGTGTATCCTCTGGCCTTCTGGGCAAATGTTCAATAGCCTGTGGGACGTGAACATTCCTCCATTCTTGCACTTATTTGGCGCCAGGAACGGTGGTGAAGGTTGCACTTGCATTCACTCATTTGTTCTTCACAACAAGCCTATGAGGACGGCTCTATCATCTTTATTTTAGAGAAAAGAAAGAAAGCCTGGAGGGATGAACTCATAGGCCCAAAGTCATATAGCTGGTAAGTGATGGACCAGGGACTTGAACCTTCACACCTCAACATCTGTCCACTGTTTAAACATTTCTCTACCACGCCACAGAGCAAGCTGCGCACACGTGCCTGATGGGGGACTAAAGAGACGATGCATGTGAGATGCTGGCATAGAGTGATTGCCCACCCAAGGCCAGCTGCCACTGCTGGTACCCTAAGCACTACTGTTATGAATATTCTTGCCCATCTGCCCTCTATACGAGTGGGCTCTCGGAGGGCAAACACTGAGCCGCCTTCCTTTGGTAGCCCATGGCCTGTCTATTATATAGATGTGACCGGTTAAAATTTCGATGGAAAAATAAATGAATCAGTTAATCCACAAAAAAGTAGCCAGGTAAGAAAAGGCACGGAGGGAAGAAGACTCCCCGGCTCTGGTGGTGGGCAGGTCGTCCCAGAGAAGCACCCTCTGCGCTGGCCAGCGGGTTGAGACCGGCTCGGAAGGCTGTTCCAGCTCGGACTGGGGCGGCCCACCCACCCCGCAGGAAGGACGGGGTGAGCTGCGGGCAGCGCAGGCCCAGCCCCCGCCGGCTGGGTTGGGGTGGAGGGTCAGTGTAGAGGGCTCACCAGTTTCACTGAGGGTCTCCAGGCACACGGGTTGGTGGGGTGCAGGGCCGTCCACCACTCGCTCCAAAATGCCTTGGACCAGGGCCGGCTGGTTGCTTGGGAAAACCCCCAGGTGCTCTCCGGGCCGGTAGCTGAGACCTTGGCGGCCCTCCCAGGAGAGTTCCACCAGGAGCGTGGTGCGGCTGGAGAGGAGAGAAGCCTGTGACGCCGCCAGGATTTCCGCCAGAGCTCCCTGGCAGCTGGGCCGCTCCGTGAGCACAGGTCACCAGCATCCCCTGCGGCTGGGGCACCCAGGACGACCTGGGGTGACCAGGCCCAAGGCTTCTCTGTGGGGAGAGGGTGGGCGGGACCCCTCCCTGTGCAGTCCTCCCGGGCCCACGAGGCCTTGATCACAGACTCTGCCTAAAGAAAGCGACCCTCCAGGAGATGCGTAGATTGGGACAAACCTCTCCTTGCCCCAGCGTGAATCCGGTTCCTATTAGAACTATGCCCAGCTCTCCTCCTGAACGGGGAGGACAGCCCAGAGAAACAAAACCCACAGAGAATCCACAACGCGGGCTCACCCCGGAGGGGAAGCGCCGTTCCCTGCTCAACTTTTCCTGGAGGTTCTCAAAGGAGAGCCAAAGGGTCTGAGTTTCTCTTGCCCTCCCCTTTTTGGTGAAAGAGTTACGTGGCAAAGGGCAGGAAGTGAAGCTGGTGCCTAGTCCCCATGCTGGAAAACTGGCCCCTGATTCATGGAGACCAGACGGAAAGGCACTGGTGGCCACAGGTTACCAGTCCAGCTGGTCCCCACCGCTGCCTTGCTCTGGTCTTTCCTTCATTAAAATACAATCTGTGGCCATCACCCAAGAGCCCTGTGCTCCACCCTACCTGGATTTCGGACTCTGGAGATTCTGCCGCGATTTGAGCTTCATGGTGAACACATTCTTGGCGTGCATGCTGCTGAGGGCTGGGGACAGAGAGACAGTGAGATGGCCAAGTGGCTCTTACGTGCTGGTGGGCAGACTCCACATGTCTGAGTCAATGACATCCGGACACTGCCCTCGGGATGTCCCACTGTGGTCACGGGGGGGTTTTCTTTCCTTTTTCCCACTGTGTCTCTGAATCACAAAGAAAGACCTAGGGTCTGACACAGGGTGGTCGTGCTGCTGCGAGGCGCTGGGAAATGCAACTCAAGGCCCCACTGTGGGGAGTTCGAGGACATCTCGTGGCTCGGGATCCGCAGGAGAGCACTGCTCAAGTTGGGGACGTCCTGAACACGCAGCAACCTGCAGGACCGCTGGACTCATGGGACAAGACGAGGACGCACAGAGACACAGGGTGCCGCTGAGAGTTCACAGACTGCAGAATGTTCTGGAACTGCCTGTGCAGAATGTCCTTTGCAATACTTGGCTGCCATTGAAGCAGGGAGGGCAGGGCTCAAACCTCAACTTGGCCACATGCTAGCCACTCGCTTCACCTCCCTGAAGCTCATTTTCTCTGTCTGTGCCGTTCCTGGGGGGAGGAGTGCCCGGGCTCGCTGAGAGCGGCGGGCAAAGAGCCCAGCACGGTGCCTGGCGCGCAGGAGGCCCTCCGTTGGTGCGGCTCCCTTCTCTCTCCACCTCCCTCCCAGGCTTCCTCCCAGAAATGGCCTCCTTGAGACAAAGCAAGGCCTCGGTTCTGGCACCCCAGCCAGCTCTTGGAGGCAACAAGAGAGAGAGGCCTGGCAGCCCTGGGCCAGCTGCCTGTGTTCAGAGGGTCCTAGTGCTCTCTCCGACCACAGGCTCAGGGCTCGAAGACCCCCAGCCCGGCGGGAAGAGCAAACAAGCCCGGGTGGCGCCGGGAAGCGGGTACCTTTGTTGAGGTCCAAGGGCTGTGAGCCCTGCACGAGCCTGCAGTGGAGGGGGCTCCAGGTCACACTGGCGGTGTAGAGCTTGGGGAGCTGAATCCGGTGTTTGCCTCGGACGTCGAACGCCTCACAGGCGGCCTGGAAGAAGACGGAGCGAACCCGTGTCCTCGAGCGGCAGCATCAGCAGGGGCCCTGCCCCGGGGCTCCCTGTTCTAGGTCCTCACGACGAGCTAAGTGCTTTGTTAGGTTGCTAAGCACACGCACCTGGCCGGGCTCCTGTGAAGACTCAAAGAGGAGCCAGGGCAGGGCACAGGGTAGCTACTGCTACTGTGATGAATACTGACATATCTCACTTTATCCTCACGGCCCTGCCATGAGGGGGGCGATTACTCCCATTTTCCTGGTGTGGAACCACTGGAGGAGGCCTGGGCGTGGGAATCGCACCGGCCCCGACACAAGCCGGTGCTCCTGGGCACCGCTGGGTGAAATGCTTCCCTTAAATGAGGAGTTTACTAAATCAGAGGGGTCAGACCGTGGGCAACAAAGACCTCAACTGTGTGCTCCCTGTCCCCAACCTCTCTATGGTGGGGAGACTTGAAACAAGACAAGGTCGTCACAAGGTGACCTGGATATTCAGAGGAGGAAGATCTTAAACCAAAGCTCCCAGGAGGCGGGGAGGTGTCCCAGCCACCTTCTCCTACCCTGGGACACATGCTTAGAGTTCTTCGTGTGTGTGTGTGGGGGGGGGGGGGAGCAGCAGCACCCTGAGCCCTCAGCCTGCAGCCCCAGCCCACGTCTGGGTCCATATCTAGAGGACCAGGCAGGGGCCGCGCCCTCCAGGATGCCCAGCACAGGTGTCCTGGGCACAAACGCCCCACAGCACCCTCTCCATGCAGTGGGGCAGCTCCAGCTATGAACTGACCTTGAAGGTCTGCACAGCCCAGCTGCGGAAGGCCTCTTCCTGCCCACTGAGATCGTCCCCTTCCCCTGTCGGCGTGAGCTGAGACGCTCCCAGGTGGGACAACTTCTGGTCGACATCATGAGCGAAGGCGCAGAACTGAGGGTACATGCTGGAACCGAGGCCAAACACAGCATACCTGCCGAGGAGGACACAGACAGACAGACAGACTGGAGTGAGCCAACCCACACAAGCAGCACCCAGCAGCACCAGCAGCCACAGAGACTCCCACTCGCCGGGCACGGCCCAAGCGTGTATGCCCCCTTCTGGTCTTCCCTGGCTTCCTGATCACCAGCTCCCATGACCAACTCAAAGCTTGGCCTGCAGACCTGTCAGAGGGACCTGGATTCCCTGGCTTGACCCTTGACACATGCTGAGGACAGGCTCTCTCTGTGCCTGAACACCCCAAAGGAGACCACCTTCTCTACGCCCGGTTCCAGACTCTGGGCCCATAAGGCAGGGCTCGGACAAGAGGGGTGGGGAGCAGCCTCACCTGAACTTGTTGGTGAGCTCTTTCAGCATGAAGAGAGATTTCTTCAGTTTCTAGAAAGAGAGAGAACCACAGAGTTCTCAGGACAGGGTTCATAAAAGCAACTGCTTTTTCCTTTCTTCTGGAGGCCCATTTCGGAACTGGCCACATCTGACAGAAGGTTCAAGGTCCACAAATGCCGGGTGTTTATGGGCACCTGCCTGGGGCTCAGGGACGGATCAGCTGAAGCCGCTCACGTGGCCTTGACCCTCAGTGGGGGCCCAAACAGCTCAGCCTCCAGCCCATCCAGCCCGGGAGAGGAGACCTGCCTCACAGCGGGGCATCTCCTGAGGGTCACCTAATGGGGTGTGAGTGAACCTCTCCTCTTGTTTGGACTCTGGTGAGAACAGCAAAAAATATGTTCCCATATTTTCTAAAATATCTCTGATTTTCCAGGAACTCAAGAGAGCTTTAGGTGGGTACACAACCTAACAGATGTAGTGTCAAATCTCACAGTAAGAAAGCATTCTCTCCTCTGTAACTTATCTTAGTTACTCCCATTTCAATTATTTTTTTTCTGTCCTAATGAACCCTAGGGAGAAGGTCTCAGCTTGGTATTGATGGAGACTTAACACCTCTCTAATATATGCCTAGTACTCTTCCCTCCCTCCCCCCACTTTATTGATTTTAGGGAGAGAGGAAGTAAGAGGAAGAGAGAGAAACATTGATGTTGAGAGAACATTGACTGGCTGCCTCCTGCACGCCCCCCACCGGGGATCGGGCCCACAACCTGGGTATGTGTCCTGATCAGGAATCGAACCGGCAACCTCTTGGTGCATGGGTCTACGCTCAACCACTGAGCCACACCAGCCGGACTCTTTTTTTAAAAAAACTAAGCAAGCCGTAGTTAGGCAATAGTATCTAGCTAAAATTCATAACTCCTTTTGGCTTTCATTCAGTTTACTTTTTGCTGGCTTTCCATTTGTGAGAACGATATAAAGTTTCCTTTAACATGAATTGTTGAATTTCAAAGGTAGGTCAATCCCCTGAAATACGAAGTCTATCACGGGAAAGGCGGTGTGTGCGAGCGGCGATAATGGCAAAGGACACAGGCAAATGGCTGACGTTAGGGCAACCCAGAGTGATCTGAGAACTCACTCCCAAATGTCCTCCTTTGGACATGCTGAATTCCCCAGATCCCTTCCTTGGTCCTCTTGGGCCCTGCCACCCCCATCCCACCTCCCCACCCCCCTCCCAACCCCCCACCCCATGACCACCGGCACCTGGAGCACCTACCTCTCCATTGCCAGGGGAGTCTCCGTTTCCAAATGTGCTGGTCACCACCAGCAGCAGTTGCTCCTCCTCCAGGCTGCTCAGCCTGTACTCGTCCATGCAGAGAACCTGCATGTGATGGAGGGTGGCCATCAGCCCCTGGCTCCCAGGCTGGGGCCCTCTGTGTCCTCCCCAGGCCATTAGCCTCCTTCATCATCCTGTCCCCACCTGCTAACCCCCCCCCCCCAGCACAGGTGTGGCACAGAGAAGGCGGGTGCTGAACAAATCCGTCCAATGCACCTCCTTGGACACGGGTCCTCCAGCTGCACCGCTGGCTCGTCATCAAGCCCTGGAGGGCCCGCCTCCGAAATACCGCACGTCCCAAATCAAAACTCTGTCGCCACGGCCATGGCCACTTTGGATTCTGAGTGTGTGGACATATTTTCCACAACAATCGGATGAGCAGGTTACAAAAATGACGGCTCCTTTGGCACCTCAGGGACCCAAACCCTTCGCTGGGCGCTCATCTCGGGGGGAGGGTGTCACCGCCTCGCTGCGCCCCAGGCCTGCCTGACCTGGGAGGTCTTCGGGGGCGAAGAAGAAAACCCAGCATGGACGGAATGAGTTCCTCACCCTTTGGGGTTTTGTTTTATTTGCCTGCATTTTATGCATCCTTTGCTCCCTTCCCATTTAGTACGGAAGGCGTTCGGTGAACAGGGATACAGTTCACCTGGAGCAGCTCACATAGACGGATTCGTTAGGAAAGTCTTCCCTGGAACGCGCGGGGAATCGCATTCCTACGTGTCTGGGAAGCCCGGCTCAGCCTGCCCTGTCTGGCCGAGTGGCCACGCACAGTGGCACACCCAAGGCTCAAGCCCTGCGGGAGCAGAGCAGGGCAGCACGCAACCCTTCCCCGGCTCCCGAGCACAGGCAGGGCCCGCGCATGCGTCCGGCGGGTCGGATACCTTGGGGTTGAAGGCACAGCTGAACAGGGCCCCGAGGTCCTGGGCCAGCGTCGCTGATTTTCCTGTTTCCGTCGCAAAGAGGATGGTGGCTCTGACTCGGGCCGCCATGGTCTTTCGCATCAGCATAGAGGCAAAGAGCACAGCCCTGTGAGGACAGACAGACACTGCGCTGATTCATCCTTCCAGAGGAAGACGGGGACCAGGAGGACGGGACGGGGCAGTGTTTGAAGTGGGGCAGGTGGAGTTAAAAGAACCCCCGCTTCTCACCAGCGATGAACCTATCAACCCCGACTCAACGCCCTTCTGCTCCCCTCACCCGCTCGACTGACTGTTTAGCCCCTTGGGGCACGTGGAGGAGAGAGGAGGTTGGGGCGATGGTGACAGGTGACTCTTAGAATTGGTGTGGGGACCTCTGGGAACCAAACGCCATCAAGATCATCTTTCCTCTCTCTTCCCTGCCCTTTGAGGCCTCGAGGGGCAGGCTGACTACAAGCAAGATGTCAACACTGGCCGCTCCCACTTACTTCACCAAGACTGGGAATCGGATCTCTCTTCTCCGGGGTCTCCGCGTCTCGTCCTGCCAGACATGGGTTTTCCAGGCCTCCACCTTCAGAAAAGAGGGCGAACGTGAGAGCAAGGCAGCCCGAGCTCGGCTTGAGCCGGGCGATGCTGGTGAGAGAGAAGACGCTCCGTGTCCTTCATGAGTTGGGGGGCAAGTGGGCCCTGTCCCAACCCCTGGCTCACTGAAAGCCCCCAGGGACAGCTGTGTCTGTCTGTGTCCCTCAGAGCAGCTGCTCCAGTGGCCAGCACAGAGCCTGCACATAGCAGGTGGTCAGTTGATCGATGGTCATTAGTGTCCCCTTGGAAGGAAGAGGCCCGAGTTTGCTCTCGTTTTTAGTGTCTTATCACTAGGAAGACGGTATAATGTAGAGTCCAAACTGGGGCACCTTTGAGAGGAAAAGGAGATGCTATGACAACAGGTATAAACTGTCCGGGGCAATAAGTCACCCTGCTTATCACCTTTAGAGCAAGGAAGTTCTTCCCAAATTGAACCAAAGTCCTTTTGACAGAAAACGAATGTGTGTCAGTACAGGATGGTTACTGAGAGCATTCTGGGCCAGCGCTGGGCTGAGCTGTTTCAGACACCAGCTCGTGTGATCTTTACAACCTCCTGTTGTGAAATTAAGGCCGCTTCCTTTAGAGGTGAAAAAAATCAGGGCTGAGGTGGGTGAAATGACCACTACCACCACCACCACCACGCCCAGAGCACATAGCTAGGAAGTGGCAGAATCACCCCCAGGTGTGCCTGGCCTGGGACCGAGCTCCTCACCGTGATGCTGTGTGACTGTTCACACACACACACACACCCACCACCATCATGGAGCTAGGTGCTATGGTGGTCGCCCTCTAGAGCTTAAACCTTGTCAGAGAACAGCCCACTAAAGGTACAGTAAAAGGCATTTCCTCAGTCCCAAGCTCTGTGAAAATGAACAAAAGCTGCCCAGCATCCTTGCGTAAAGTCTAAAAAGCATTAAACATGATTCTTCCCCATGTCTTGCACGAGTGAGCATGCACGTGCACACACAGATGCACACGAATGCACATGCACACACACATGCATGCACATGTACACCCATGCGCACACACACACGCACACTCTCCACCCCCGAGCTCTCAAGACAAGAGAAGAGGAAAGTCCCTCTGGTACCTGGTAGTAGTAGAAAGGGGACAGGATGTAGTTTAACATCTCCTGGTGAAACACGGGGGTGATGCTTCCAGAAATCGGAGGCACCAGCCAAATCCAGTCGGCAGGGCAGCCCCCTCGGGACCGGTACTCATTCTGCATGTACTTCATGAAGGACTCCGCAGCTGAGTGGTGGTCCATGATGGTCACATTTTGCTTCTAAATCAGAAGGAGGCAAGAAGGGGAGGAGAGACGAAGGACGGGGGAGTCAGGACAGTGGTCTGCTGACTGTAGAGCTCCCAGGTGCACCATGGGAAGGCCTGGCAATCTGTAAAATGGGAGAGCAATTCCTCTGGCCCCCTCCTCACTGCTGAAAATAAATACCCATGGAAGGCACTTTCAGAGCATCTGAAGTAGAAAAAAACAACCACCACCATGGTCAGCCTACAGATCAGATGGTGGCCTCTGTTGGTCCCCTGGGGCAGTGTCCAGCTTCTCAGGCCGTGCCCACAGGTCTCCCCAAATTTACAACAAATGGCTCTCTCTGGATGCTAATAAGTCAAACCACAGTGCATTTTTGTTGGCAGGCAGTTCTGGGAGTCACTTTGCCAAGGATATGGCTCTCCTGGTCAAGAAGGAACCACCGTGCATGGAAGACAAGTGACCACATTCCCAAAATTAAAAGCCAAGGGGTCTGAGCCTTCCCTGAATGACCCAACAAGGGTCCCCACAGCCCTCAATGTCAGGGGCAACTCAGTTAGGAAACATTTGTTTCGTGTAGTGGTTCAAACCTTGGCCTTCTATTCCCTATGTGACCTTAATTAATTCGTTCCTGGACCTCACTAAGCCTCAGTTTCCTCATCTGTCAAGTGGGGATGATAACAGTTCCTGCATCACGAGGTTGTTGAAAGGATGCAAAAGGTATTACAAGTAAAGGCCGGGACGTGCTCAGTGACCATTAGCTGCCATTATTATTTCCACGTGCCAGGCACTGCGGGAGGCACTGGCATCGCCGAAATGAAAGACATGGCCCCCTCTCGGCATCCGATTACATTCTGACCAGGGGACGAAGAAAGGCAGCTGCTTCACGTGGTCTGAGAGGAGCTGCAATGGGGGTGCAGGAGCAGGCGGAGGGCAGAGGAGGGCTTAGCTCAGACAGAAGCCGGGCAGAGAGACGGGGCCTTTCAGGCACAGCTTCTAAGAGGAGGTGAGTCTTGAGACATGGGTACAAGCTGGGCCAGAGACAAGCATTCCTGGAGAAGGACACAGCAGGAGCCAAGGCCAGAAGGAGAGGAGCTAGCTGATGGAGGCCCCAGCGGGCCCAGCCACACCTTCTAAGCTGTACACATACACAGAGAGCAAGTCCTGGCTGCCAGACCAGTTTTAAGGTCAGGAGTTGATGATGGGATAATGATGGTAAAACAATAAACAGTAATAACACCAAAACAAGTGCTTACTAAGTGTTCGCAATGGGCCAGGCAGTTCGACTGGACACTCTGCATGTATTTCATTTAATTCTTACAGTAACCTAGTGAGGGAGGCACTATTATTATCTCTGTTGTACAGATTAGGAAACAAGGCCAAGTCTTTTGAAGTTTACTGTGAAGGAGGGTGACGAGGAAGTCCTGGAGACTCAAAGACAGTGACCGAGTGTGGTCAGCAGTGGCCAAGAGACAGCAAAGGACCAGAGGACTTTCTGGGACATATTCGCATCCTGCCAGTGTCAGGGCTGATGCTGGGAGCTCCCAGGACTCAGGATGTGTCGTCCACGGCCAGTGGGCCCTTCCTGAGCCGGGCCAGCCCCAGGGGGCTCTTCCTGTCCTGTCTCCGAGTCACCTCCAATCAAGCACAAGCTTGACCTACCTATGGGGTGACCGGTCATGGGGAACAGTGTGTGATCGTAAATATTTACTGGATGATTGTTTAATGTCAGCTCCCCGCTACACTGCACAAGGACGCATTTTTGTCTATTTTGTTCACCACTCACATCCTTGGCCCAGCCTGGTGTCTGGCACATTGCAAATGCTCAATGCAACGTTGCCGAATAAATGAGTGACTCTCTGCCCACTGGTCTGGCCACCAGGGCATCTGCCAACTTTGTGGAGATGGTCTCAAATTCTAAAGTAACAACTTCACACACCCCAGGCCTCCTCCCCGAAAGAAAGGGGTGTGTTTGCATGAGTAAGAGCAGCAGATGGGCCGCCGGCTCAGTCCCAAACAGGAGCCAACCTGCTATGTGACGGTCCAAGGGCAGACACTGTCTGTCACTCAGCAGGACAGGAGCTCACATGGCCATGGGCTCTCATCCATCACTTGACACACTTCTTTAGAAGCTACCATGTGCCAGACCCACTTCTGGTCTCTGTAGTTAGAGCAGTGGACAAGAGACAAGACCCTGCCCCACAGCGCTTACATTCGGGGAGGGGGCACGAAACAACAAAGAAAGAAGTAGATGTACTATATATTGTCAGGAGTTAGTAAGTAGTATGAGGAAAAATAAAGAGAGTTAAAGGAATAAGGGGGAGAGACAGGAGGGGGTGGGAGGCCATTGTATACGGCACGGTCAGGAAGGGCTACCCTGAGGAGGTGACCATTGGGACCTGGGTGAAGGGAAGGGGCCAGTCATGGGATGGTTTGTGGGAAGAGTGTTCTGGGCAGAGGGAAAAGCAGTGCCAAGGCCCTGAGGTGGGAACTGTATTGGTGAGTTTGGAAAACAGTGAGAATTGCAGGGTGGCAGGAAGATGGGTGGAGGAGGAAGGCCTGGCGGGAGGTGTCATGAGGTCTTTCCTTGGCTTTGCTGTAAAGGGAAGCAGAAAACAAGGTAGGAGCTGAGGGAGGCACTTATTCCTTTGAGATGGGAACCATTACAGCCTATTGATATTGATGGGAATGGTCCAGGGGTGAGGGAGACACTGATGAGACAGGAGAGGGAACGGGGGATAGTTTCAGGATTAAAGTCCTTGAGAAACTACGAGAAAACAGGATTCAGTGCTTAAGTGCAGGGATTGACCAGTCTTGGGAGGAGCGGAGTTGCCTGTTGCTAGAAGAGACACGTCATACTAGAAGACCTGGGTTTGGTGAGAGGGCTTATTTGTCTCTGTCCCCAGCACCTGGCATAGCGTGTGGCACAAGCTGGGTGCTCAGTGTTTGTTTGGTGCATAAATAAATGAGCAGTGCTGGAAGGGGAAATCAGGCGCGCATGAGAGGCTGGGCCAGATGACCTTCTAACCAGGAAGGCTTCGGACCCACAGAACCCCAGTCATACCTGGAAACTGTGCAGCACAGCGACGTTGATCTCAACGACAGCCTGGTCTTTCCAGAGTGAGGCCAACTTGTGCGTTTCCAGGCCCATTCTTCTGCCTACTTCCTGCACAGGCAGAGGAACGGGGCTGTGTCAGTCCTGGGGGCCAACCACAGGCCCGTACCTCCCACTGGCCCCCCGGGTGGTCCTCGTTACCTCCAGGATGTTGTAGCGCTGGACGTCACAGAAGTCCCGGACGCCGATCTCTGTGCCCATGTACCAGCCATTGAAGGGGCACCCTGGGAACTCGAGGCCACCCACCTCGAGCAGCATGTTGGACACTGCAGGCAGGGCGTACCACCTCAGCCCCAGCTCCTCGAACCACTCGTACCTGGGGGGGAGATAGCCAGGGGTGGGGCCTTCACTTCTGCCCATCCTCACCCCCCTAAAAAGCTTCAGGAAGTCGATCAAGAAAACTCCTTTCCAAGTGTTGATCTCTAAGTTAACCCCACCTGGAGGGGTGAACGGGTGCCCTAGGTGTCCTTCATTAATTATGCATTCATTCACTCATTCGTTCATGCAAACACACAGCAAGCATCCAGTATGTAACAGGCCCTGTGCCAAATGCTGGGAACCCAACATAATACAGTGGTTAAGGACTCTAGCTAGTGTCAGAAGGCCTAGTTTCAAGTTCTGCCTTACCGCTTACCTGCTGTGTGACCTTGGGATGTTATTTAGCCTCTCTGAGCCTCAGTATCCCCACCAACAAAATAGAGATAATAGCATCAAACTCGTGAGATTATTGTGAAAATTAGTATCATTCATTTGTATATTTGTTTATTCCAGAAGTATCTATAATTGAGCACCTACTATGTTCCAGGCACCCTGCTAGGTGTTGGGGACATAGTAGGTGCTCGATTATAAATATTACAAGAAAGGCAAGATCCCTATTCTCAAGAAGCTTACAGTCTAGAATCCAGACTCTGGACTATAAATAGGTAAACAAACAAATAAATAAATAAATAGGAAGATCAAAACAAGGTGATGTGTTAAACGAAGGGTGAGGTTGCCTACTCTAGGGTGGGTATTCAGGAGAGGCTTCTCAGAGTGGGTATCATTCAAGAATACCTCACTGACAAGAAGAAATGAACATTGAGGAAAGGGCGGGGGGACAGCAAGTGCAAAGGCCCTGAGGTAGGACCGAGTTCATTATATTCAAGAAACAAAAAGAGAGAGAGAGAGAGAAAGAGCCCAGCCCAATGATTGTTACATAGTGAGTCTCAATATATGAAGGTATTTTTGTAATTACACAAGCTGTCTGGAGCAAGGGCTGAACTAGATGAGCTCTTAAAGTCACTATAGCCCTATATTTTCATCACAGTCTGGAGACAGACAGCTAAGAGAATGGGCAGGAAGGCGAAAGAACCCTAGGCTGCTCAGTGTGACAATCTCGGAGACTCACAAGGCTTACTCTCCCAAGGTCATGCTTCCCAAGCTCCTAGGGCCCCATTTGTCCAAGCCCCTGCTTCCCCTCACCATCAACATATCTCCTAAGTCTGAACCCCCAGACACAAGTGCAGAGTTGTCGTATAAGAGTGACAAGGGGGGGCCCTGAAAGCCAGCCCCTTTGGGCACCTGCTGCTGACTGGGAGATGCGAGGAGGGCCCGAGGACTGAGGTCTCACTTAGGAAAGGAGGGGTCATGCGTGTTCATTGCCACCCCTGCACCCTCAGCCTGCTTACTTGGGATGTTCCATAGGCACCTCGAGCACAAGGTCAGGCGGGATTTCGAAGAGCTCAGGGTCGCGGCCACCGGCCTGCAGGACCAGAGGCACCACATCGAAGCGGCCGTACTTGGGTTTCCAGCCCAGGTCAATGCACAGCTGGGGACAAGACAGGCACAGTGAGTCTGCAGACCCAGGCACCTTGACCCCTCTAGGCTCCTCTCCTCACCCACCAAGGCCGGACCTAGTACCTGGGTGAACTCCACGCAGGCAGGGTCCCCCCTGATGGTGCCATCAGGCATCTGGTAGCCGGCATAGCGGATGAGCTGAGAGTTCCAGACACGGAAGTCATGCTTCCCGTCGCTGCGCTGGGGGAACACAGTGATGGCCGACCTTCCCCAAGACAAGGACAGTGGTTTACCACCTGGCTTCAGTGGGGGCTCCCAGCCTTCCCCCAGCCCTTCCCTGTCTCCCCACTCCCAGCCCTCTGCACCTGAACTAACTGAACCCAACTCCTGCAGCTCCCCAACGTGCCAAGCTCCTCCTGGCCTCTACGTGCCCTGCCCCACTTCCCGAATCACCGTCTCCTTCCCTCTTCTCCCGCCAGCGCCAACCCTCCCTCCAAGACCAGCACAGCGACTGGGCACTCCAGGAACCTCCCCCTTCTCAGGAGGTTAGCTGCCCCGTGTTTCCCCCTCACAATGACTTAGATGCTGGGTCCCCATTAGGTGGGCTCTGAGCATTTGCTGAACGGAAGGATGGATGAATGACTGAATGAAAGGGCTCTTCAACCCCGTCAGCCTCAACCTCTTTGGCTGGGGTTGGGAAGGTGAGGCAGAGGGGGACACTGATCAGCAGGGACACTCCCACCTCTAAGAAAAACGCCACCCTGGAGTCGTTTGCTGCGAAACTAACCTCTCCTCCATCTAAAAAGTGGGGAGCCCTAATCTTGCTTTTTAAAGACACTCATCCCCTCAAAATGGTTCCAAGTCGGAAGAAAACCAAGGGAACAGGCCACGGAGGGCACTGAGCTCCCAGAGGCTCTCCTCGTTTCTAGAGCTCCCTGAAGAAGCCGGAGTCTCAGCTCTCTTTCTCCCGGTTCCTCCAGGAGCCAGAAACGCCACCCCTAAACCCATCTGTGTCTTTTGGCAAAGTGTCTGGAGGAGGGTGGACCTGGCCACAGCCTCGGGAAAGGCGCCCCCACCTGATGTTGCCGTTGTTGGTGGCATAGCGCAGGTGCCTGCAGATGTGCGCGAACATTTCCTGGGCAGTGGAGCAGCTCCGGGCGTCGAAGACCTGCACACAGCACCCCAGACACCCACAAGGACCGTGAGCACACAGGCCTCGGGGATGACCAGAAGCGAAGTCACAAGGGACCGAGGGTGTGTCCCAGACCCCCACTGCCAAACAGAGACGTGCGTTCTCATCTCTGCAGTGACACCTCCCACTCAGGGCTGCCCCTCCATCCTTTCTCCTGCTCTCTTCGGGGAGTCCAAGCAACCCCACATGGAAGATCATATTAAAAAGGTGATTTCAAGCACCATGGAATCAGGATTCCCACAGCCCAGCCTCCTTTTTTTACAGTGTGAGCACATTGTACTCCAGCCGGGGCTGCATTAACTGCCCTTGCCCATCGATTGCTCTGTCCACGTGCGTTCGAAATCATCCAGTCATACAAGATCCCCCAACGTAAAGATGCCCCGGGAGGCTACGATAAAGAACACGTTCTCTAGGGGCCAAGAATTCAGTCTGGGTAAACAACCTCTCCTGCAGCACCAGGGCTTTAATTATTCAACAACAATAATAACAAGGTCGTTGGGTTTGATGTTGGCGGGAAGTCCCCCATAATTTAACATAGGAGAGAAAGATCCGCTAGAGATCCCAGGGCTGACATTGGATTCTAGACTTCTCAAAGGGGCCCATCGCAGGTTCATGAACGTGAAGAGAGAACCTGAGGCCCTGGTTTCAGTCCAGGAGCCCTGGGCACAGCTCTGCTTGGCTGTGTGGGGGCATGTGGCCGGGGCCTGCCTGCCCCCAGCTTCCTCTCCCGCTGGGGTCTAAGAAAGTCCACCTGCAGGTTGGACCACTGGATCCTCCCGATGCAGCGCGGGGCGTTGCGCCAGGCCTGCTTGGTGGCGTAGATGAGCTCATCTCCTGTCAGCTGGTAGGTTCCTGTTGTTTCTATCTCCTTTGTTACGGCTTCCACCCTGGCCAGATGTTCCTCTATTTTTGCCCTGGGGGACAGGAAGACATAAGGAAGATCAACAATGAAATGGCCTTACATGGGCATTAAATCAATGCACAGAAGCAGGAACTGAACTAGGGCACCAGGAGGGCAAGATGTCTCTGGTGGAGACCATCCCCTCCAGGCTCAGCTTCATGGCTGTGTGACCTGGGCCCGAGCTTGGTTTCAGGCTCTGCAATCGCAGTCTCGAGATTCGTAGTCTCTTTTGAACCAGGAGCCCTTGTTTCCGTTTTTGCACTGGGTCCTGCAAGCTACGCGTGCGGGTCCTGATCCCATCGGCACCCTTGTCGTTCTAGGCGCTTTGGCTCCGATCGTGTAACCTCAGCTTGGCGAGCGTGAGCAAGGAGTGCGTGCTCTCCTCAGACACATGCGAGACCAGAGGGACGTCCATCACGCCACAGCCACGTCCCGCCTCTCGCCAGGGGGCCGTCATACCCCTTCCCGTGACGGGAGCCAACCCCTCCCACCATCTCCTGTGTACTGAGCACCTGCTAAAAGCCAGGTACTGGCTGAAGTCACTCACAGTCAGGGTCTCACTGGGTTTGGGAGGGAGGCACTTTTGTGTCCATTTTATAGTCCAGTGGATCAAGGCTCTAGGACGCCAAGTGCCCGCACAGAACGTAAGTGTGATACAGAGTCAAGTCAGGACTCAGATTCGGGTTTCCCTGATGCCAAGCCCAGGCTCTTAACCTTCCACCTTCCACCCCAGGGGGGGATTTTAATTCCCACGCTTTCCTGGTCAGGCCCCAACAGGGACCAGCTCTCAGGACCCAGCCTGCAGGGCCCCGGGGCCTGCTCAGGGAGGAATCCTCTATACATGGTCCAACATCACAGGCTCTCCACAGCATGTGGTTTCCCAACCTCGGCCCCTCTCAGCCAGCAACCTCACGTGAGATTTCTACACTGGCTTCTCCCCTCCCCTCCCAGGCTTCAAAAAGATCCTACAGAGAGGAATTCAGTCAGAAAGGCTTTGAAACACACACACACACACACACACACACACACACACGCTAACCTTGAGACTTCCAATCAACACCAAAGATGTTTGAAATGGCAACAAGCAAAACTATTTAAGGAATGAAGTCCTGATTAAGGAGAGTGGACAACTCAGAACAAAATGGCCTTTCTCTGGAGGAAGCCTGTCTCGGCAACTCTTCCTTGATTAAAGAAGAAAGCTCAAAGACAAAACACTTGACGCTATTTATCTTCAAGGATACTCCTTTGCCGGGCGAAGGTTGAGGCTGCCCCACCACAGCCCCTTCTCCCTAAACTAAGCTTCCTCGCAACACTCCCTGCGCCGCCCCCACGCGTGGAAGAGGTAGGGATGGACGGAAACACCTACGCCTCGAGCATCCTTGGTAGTGTTCCCATGTGACTCTATAAAAAAACTTTCTGGTTTACATCTTTACCCCGTTCCTTTAGAATTGTACAGGTGACCACTATTTGCACATAGCCACATCTCTGAGGCACTGAGAATGTCACGATGCCGATTAGTTCTGAAACGAAGGAAGTGGCGTTCGGCATCGGCGAACGGATTTGAACAGAACACTCAGCGAGCTGTACTTTCTTTCTATCCTCACTTGAGGACACATTTTTCCATTTTTTGTTCAGGTAGAGTGGGAGGGAGAGAGAGGAAGAGAGAGAGAGAGAGAGAGAGAGACAAACATCAATGTAAAAGAGACACATCGAGTGGCTGCCACCTGCACGACCCAACCAGGGCCGGGGACAAACTGCAACCGAGGTATGCAACCTTAGCGGGAACCGAACCCAGGTTTCTCTGGACCCCAGGCTGACGCTCTAACCCCTGAGCCAAACCGGCAGGGCTGCGAGCTGTACTTTCTCTGTATACAGTCCCTCCTTCACGAAGGACTGAGCCAGCCCGGCTGCCGTGCCTTTGTGGAGCTGGACTGCCATGTGTCCTTCACCCCCACCCCTACCAGGACCTCGTGGGGTCCCAGGTGTGCACTTGTGACTGTGAGAAGCCATCTTCCCTCGTGAGAAGAGCAGCCCTGGGCCTCCCCAGGCAGCACCTGCCCAGCTGCTTCCAGACACCAGCGGGACCTCAAAGGTGCGGCACGGACTTGGGACCTTCAAGGTCAAAGAGCTGGACGCTAAAACACTGAGGTTAAAAGCAGGGGCTCTAGTGCCAAACTGCCGGGGTTCAAATCCCAGCCCTGGGACTTCAGAATGTGTGACTGAGTTCCCTCTCCTCCACGGCTTCAGTTCCCGTGTCTGAAAATGCGAGGACTACACGGGGTCCGGTCTCCCGGAGCTGTGGTGAGTGTTACTAACAAGGCATGTGCCCAGAACATACTTAGCGCTCGGGGAATGTAAGAGTGGATGCAGTGGCCCGAGGAAGCCCATGAAGAAAATTCCTCAGAAGAGGGGGTGGTGGGGGGAGGGAAAAGATAAACCACAGAACTTACATGCATGTACACATGGACATGGACAACAAAGCCGGGGACGGGGGGGGGGGGGGGGGTGGGGAGGAGGGTGTCAATGGGGTAAAAAAGGAGAAACATCTGTCACTAAAATAAAATAAAATAAAATAAAATAAAATAAAATAAAATAAAATAAAATAAAATAAATACATACATACATACAGTGACAAAAAGAAAAAAGAAAATTCCCACACCCTGCCAGGCTCGTTAGTCAACAGCCTGGCTGACAGGCCAAGGGCCTTGAGCCTCCCAGCCACAGAGCACTTCCGCCGAGGTTCTCTGGCACCAGCAGGCCCTGCCCTGTGGGGAACAGGGCTCTCGGCCTGGCTGTACGTTAGAATGGCCTGCGGAGCTTGTAAAGAATGTGCATGTCTACTCCCTCCCCGCTTCCTGGGGTTCTGACACTCTTGGCCCAGGGGATCCTGACAGCAGTATTTTGCAAGGTCCTTGGGCAACTCTGCGGTGCAGCCAGGGTGGAGGATCACTGGCCCTGGGAGATAAGGGCCCTCCTGGCTCAGACACTGTAGAGTCGTAAGAGGGGATGTGGCACCACCAGGACCACTCTTTCCGCCAAGGGCATCCCAGGGGCACTTCTGGGGCTCACTTCACGCAGTGACTTGCCACCTGGGGCTGCATCAGAAAAGCCGCCCTCCCCTCCCAGCCCATAAAACTGCAAACCCACACCCTTGGCCATTCTGTCTTACAATCCTTTGTGCATTCTTATTTTAAAGTTTTAAAAGGGCCTAAGTTAAAAGTCATATACTTTATGAAACCCAGGAATGTAGAACCCCACAAAGTTCAGTGCCAAGATCATGGCCTGCCTTCTCCAAGTGGGGGTGGGGAGAGGGGTGGGCTAAATTCTAGCTGGGACTGGCTGATCTCAGGTGTGTCACTGGGCTTCCTTGTTCACACCTGTAGAAGGGCTTGGCAAGGTGGTCTCGGAGGTCCTGTCTCTCGCAAAGATTTAATAATAAAAAGGTGCCTATCAAGTCACGATCAGGGTGACTCTGTGCAAAGACACTGTTCTACATTTACTTAATCCTCACAGCAACCTCATGAGCAAGATTCTATCATCACTCCCCCACCACCTTTTACAGATAAGGAAGCTGAGGCACAGAGAGGGTGAACAGATTTCCTAGGGATACAGGACTGGTTACCGGAGGAGCCAGGATTCAAACTCCAACAGTTACACTCCCGACCCACACTCTTAACCCCTGTTGCTCTGCCTCTTTGTCTTATGATTATGAAAACCTACTCCGGGGTCTTTTTCCCTCGGGAAAGTATGCTTTAGCCCTGGATCCACGGAGAATCTGGGCAGGAAAGGGGCTCGGGGTCAGAGGGAAACGGCTGCAGACAGGAAGACTTACTCTTTGAAGGAACTGTAATACTGGTTGACAAATTCGATAGCTTGAGGTAGAAGCTCCTCTGGGGAGGTAGGCTTGTCCCGGGGTCCTCTGGTCAAACTTTTGGAGTTCATGATGGATCCCAAGCAACACTTGGACTTGCAAGTGAAATCCTGGAAAGAGAGAGGTGGGTCGCTTTGATGGCCATCCCCTCCTGGGCTAGCTCTCCTTCCACTGTGGCTGCTCCAGCTCCCTACCAGTCCTTGCCACTCCTGTGGCACCTCCTCCTTGGGGTCCACCAGGCTTTCTTCCCACCTGGATCTCTTTTCCTCTCCTGTCTGGACCCCACTGGGTATGAGCTGAGGTTGCTCCCCCTCACCCGGGCTCAGCCTCTTGGCCCAATTCCCAGCTGGCTCCAGGCCCAGAGCAAAGTCAGCAGCTCTATCCCTGGGAACATATCGACTACCTTCTCATTTAAAGAGGCTGATGTGCCCTGGCCGGTTTGGCTCAGCGGTTAGAGCATCAGCCTGTGGTCCAGAGAAATCCTGGTTCAGTTCCCACTAAGGGCACGTACCTCAGTTGCAGTTTGTCCCCGTCCCTGGTGTGCGGGCGACAACCACTCAATGTGTCCCTTTCACATCGATGTTTCTCTCTCTCTCTCTTCCTCTCTCTCCCTCCCACTCTATCTGAACAAAAAATGAAAAATGTCCTCGGGTGAGGAAAAGAAAGAAGAGGAAGGGAAGGGAAGGGAAGGGAAGGGAAGGGAAGGGAAGGGAAGGGAAGGGAAGGGAAGGGAAGGGAAGGGAAGGGAAGGGAAGGGAAGGGAAGGAAAGGAAAGGAAGAGGCTGGTGTGGCTCCAGGGAACACATGAGTGGTGTTCAGCCAGAATGAACTGAAATGAGAGGGTGCAAATCCCGAAGTCAGAGGATGGCGCAGAAGGAAGTACACCCGAATGTTAACTTCTGGAAGGTGTGGGAAATCATTCTGTTTTCGTGGTCTTGACATTTTCAATTCTTTCCCACTTAGATGTATTAAAGTGCATTCTAAAGTTAGAATGAGAAACGTAGACTATAGGAAGGAACCTTGAAGAACACTTAGTACAACTACTCACTGGATGCTTGAACCCCTCTCTACTATCCCTGGCAAACAGCACTTCAGTCCTTCTGGTGGCAGGGGCTTCACTGCCCCTTGATGCAGTTCAGTTTAATGTGGGAAGGTCTGTTGGAAAATTCTCCCTGATACTCTGCTGAGATGTGTGTCTCTCTAGAAAAGAATTGATTTGTTCCTGTAACCGTTTATCTCATCCCTGGATTATTCATCACCCATGAGGGGGTTCACGAGAAACTGGCCCCACCTGCTTCTTATTGTCATTGATGAAGAACACGAGTCTCCTTCCCAGCACCCTTCTCCCAAGTGGAGGACTGTCTGCTTTGCCCAAGGGACATCTGTTTGACCCTCTAAGGGCCCTGATGGCTTCACTGACTTGGGGCCAAGGTGGTTCTCCCTGAAGCCCCAGGCGTCTCACCTCTTTGGCCCTGTGGTGAAGCGTGTCTTGGAAAGTCATCCCACTGCCCCAGTTTTTGATCCTCATGTGCCGTGGGCAGGCCGACGGGGGTGCATCCAGCCTGACCAAGGATTCTGGAGACTGCTAAGAGGAAGAGAACAGATTTCCAGATGCCTCCAATGTTTCCAGGGCCCCATGGGTCTCTTCCTGGCCCCTGGGCCCTGCTTTGGCTTTGGGTGGGGTGGGGAGCTGGGGTGGGTACACAGGTCAGGGTGTCAGTCCATGTCCCTCCCCCCTCCCCGGCGGCCTGGCCACTTGGACCAGTGCCTGCGAAGAGCTCCAGGTGCCTGGGCCACTGGCCAGGCTTCTCTCCTCACCCAGAACCCTGCCAAACGCTCCCTCGGAGGAATTGCAACAGTGGGGACTAAGGTTAGGTACGAAGGAGACTACTGCCCAGCCATCGCCGGGAACCGAAATCAGAACGAGGAAGAGAGTACCGCTGCCAGCCACCACCCCCATCTCTCTGCCACACTGAGGTCCAAAGCACTTAGGGAAGATGAAGCCGGTGGGACAGAGGCTGGGGGCTGGGCCCAAAGGCTCAGCTGCGAGTCTGGGACAATTCTGGAGGGTCCTACTCCTGACTCCATGAATGGGCTCCTCTCACCCAGGCCTGCTAGCTCACACGCAAGTCATCCAGGTACCAGTGCACCTTGGGGCCACCACTCCTGACTACCATGGATCATCCTGGTCTCCCAAAGCCCTTTCTCATCCCCGCCTGTACCCCCTGGGGTCTCCACTCACTGCCCAGACCCCAGCTCCCAACAGGCTGCTCAGCCTGCATGTGTCTGGGTGAGAAAGGAAGGGGCTTCCCACACCCGTGTGACTCACTGACCTCGGCCGTCCCTGTGAAGGGCTGGGGGGACTCATTCCGGTGCTTGCTGAGGCTGTGACGCTTAGGGTCATCCTGTGTCACTGGACTGCGAAAGAAAACAACTCTCATGAGATGGAGTGTCTGAGGGCAGAGAGGGGTCTTGGAGTCCCTTCTGCCAGCCTGTCACTTGACGGATGAGGGAACTGAGGTCTGGAGAGTGGGAATGAACTGCTCATGGTTTCCCGCCAAGGAGGCTGTGTGTGTGTGGCGGGGAAGCAGTCAGCCAGACCCCATCTCCTCCTCATCACTCCCTCCCTCCTCCTCTTCTCCTGCCCTCCTACAAAGCCAAAAAGACAAGAAGGGGGCTGAACCAAAGCTTATCGAACCAACAATTATCAACCCATGGCCCAAAGGATGACACACAGACACTCTGGGGAGAGGTGCCCTCAAAAACCAAAGACGTACAGATGTGGTGGGCAAAGAAGGGCTTCTCCCAAGCCAGCAACACTGCCCACCACCCACTCGTTCTGGGGGACTTAAGCTTTTTTTATTTAAAGGATTTGATTTGCATTGGTTTACTTATTTATTCTAAATTCTTATGGAAAATGTTGAACGTACACAGTAGAGGTAATAGAGTAATAAATCCCCATGGGCCCTTCACCCAGATTCAACCCAGTCAACAGGTATCAACCCACGGCCAGTCCTGCTTCAGCTCCACTCTTCCCGCTCCCCATCCATCTAGAGCAAGTCGGAGACGACCTGTCATCCGTAAACACCTCATAACTATTTCTGGAAGATAAGGACTCTTTTTTTAAAAAACATATTGGTTGTATTTATTTTAAAACAACAGATTTAAAGAACTTAGCCTGTCCTTTGGAAAAAGCCCCGATTGTCTAAAATCACTCGGAAACATTGGTTCTGGTCTGGGATTTCAGGTTCGCTCTCCTGGCAAATGCTACAGAGAACAGAAGGCATGTGACCCCTCTGGCTGCACACGTGTGAACACCCCCTCCAAGAGTCACACTCCCCACATGCCTCCTCCTGGGGTGGGTCACAATTACAGGGGCACTTTAGTAGGAAAGCTTGTGTTCCATGTTCTTTGCGACAGTTTCTGGGGTGTGCATGTGTGTGCATGCACAGCAGAGGGGAAGAGGGTCAGATTGCAGAGGTCTTTCATTTTCCACTCTATACATCTCTGTGATGTTGGAATAGGACAAATGAGCATGTATTGCTTTTATTATTGGGAAAAGTACTATTTAGGTTGTGCCCAGTTTTTTCACTATTATAAACAAAGCCCAGTCCCCTTTCTCCCTCAGGTAGCAGATTTCTTTAGGCTAGGTGTTGGGAGATGGGGTGACCAGAAGCCAGATGAGCATATTAAGATTCTAGATACTTATTGACAAATGATTGCATGATCCACCCAGACGCTCAGTTCAGTGCTGCTAAAACCACCCTGAAAAACCCGCCATCAAAAGAGGCGCTGCAGTGTGGTGCTTGCTGAGACCCAGGATGGGGCGCTGAGTTGGAGCTGCAGGCTCCTTTGGGGCGGACCTGGACCACTGCCTCTCCTGCAGGTCCCACTCCTCCCCGCCCCCACCACTCCGCACACCTAGGGTGAGGGAAAGAGAGGGGCTTAGGAAAATGAATCATATTTGTAAAACGAGAACTTTTTTGCTCTCTTCTATCTGTCCCAAAGGGTGTAGCAGCCCCAGGGCTGAAAGATCTAGAAAGCTCCCAAGCGCTGAAACGGACAATTCCTACTCCAGCCTCATAGCCGCGGCTCATGGGTGCCTGTGGGCTTCTCTGGGTCTTTGTGGCTACGGCCTGGGAACCTCTTATGTGTTCTAACCAAGGAAAACACTTTAGTGAATATTCATCGGAATCCTACAGCGAATATTCCAACCTTCCTATTCTCACAGAAAACCGAGGCTCCGGAGGGTCAGTGGCACGTCGGGTGCGCGCGGTGCGCCCGGTGCGCGCGGAGCCGCCCGCCCCCCTCCCAGGGCGGACCCCGCGCGGCCGGCGGCGGTACCTGGCTCGGCGGGAGCCGCAGGCGGACTGCGGCCGCAGGATCCTGCGAAGGAGCCCGCAGAGCCGGGGCCGGGCTGCCTCGCACGCCGCACCCAGGCCCTCGCGCATGGTACCCGCCAGGGCGCAGCTCCGAGGGCTCCCCGCTCCACTCCGCACCCGCCAATTATAGCCGCCGACTCCGCAGCCCCGCCCCGAGGCGGAGCAAGCAGGAAAGGCGGCCTGGACTCGGCACTGGGCTCACCCGCGCGTGGCCCCGGGCCAGGGTCTCCCCGGGCCACACATACCCAGGGGCCCACAGTGGGCGTCCACGGGGAAGTCTGCCTTTTGGATGCCATTGGGCTTTCTCTGGGCTAAGCCGCCAGGGCAAGTGCGCCGGCCTTGTACTGTAGTGCTTTACAGTTTACACAGCAAACTTGATCCTGTTATTTCATCTACTCCTTAATGAATCCAGTCAAGAAGGCAAATCTATATTGTTATTTCCACTTTATTGGGGAGGAGCGGGACAGAGAGTTTATCGATCTTGCCCAAGGCCACACAGCAGCCCCAGGGCCACAGCCCAAGCTCTCTCCCCTCACAGGGCTGCCCTGGAAAGTGTTATTTCTTTTCTGCAGGTTCAGTGTGATTCCAGGAAGGAAGCCAAAGAAAGAGCAAGGCTGGGGATGATTTTTAGTGGGAGACCCTGGGGAGGGGCGGGGCAGTTGGACCAGGAGCCCCTTCAGGTCCTTTTCAGACTCCTGGTTCTTATAATCTGAAGGTCACAGGGCCTCCTGACTTTGCTCCACCTGTAGGTTGCTTCCACCCTGGAAGCAGGATAACTCCTAGGTTCCAGAGAGAGACAGGGCAGCAGCCCCCAACCTTAGAGTACACGGATCCCTCCTAGACACATTCCAGTGCATTTAATCCCAACCCAGATTAAATCGGAATGAAAGAAGGTACACATCTATTCTGAGCCAACTGCAACCCAGTTCAACTTTGTTCCAAATTACATATGTTTTCACCTAGGTGTTCTCAACATGTGCCTTTGTTCCCTAAAACACACACATTCACTTCCTGATCATTTGTTTATATAAAATACAGAATCATTAGTCACACATAATAGGTTCTAGGTCTTATACCTGAATGGATTTGAAAATGACTTTTTAAAATCAAAATACATGAATGGGTTCCCATTGCTTTCAGTACAAAATCCCCTTTGCACAGCTGCTCCCACCTCCAGTAATATTCCTGCCCCACCCCCCCAGCTGTGCGTTGCAGTCCACCTGGGCCCACCTCAGAAGAGCTCATAGCGCCCTCTCATTCTCCTGTGACCTCCTACCTCTGCCCCACCCCACCCACCCCATTCTGCATGAGCTCCTCCCAGACCTGTGGGGAAGGCACCTTTTCACCCATCCCTCCTGGACAGCAGGAACTGGGTCTCTTCTCTGTCCCTTTCCCAGCCCAGCACATAGTAGGCCCTCAAGGAGAGCCCATATACTGTAGAGGTTATGAGTTTGAACTGAACTCAAACCTCAGTTCCCCCACTTTCCAGGGACTGACCTTGAGTAAGTCATTCAACCTTGCTTTGCAAGTCCAAATCCCCTACTCGCCAAGCCCTCCGAGCCCTGGCCTCACCTCTCCTGCCCCAGCCTCCGCCCGAGGCCCAAGCACAGTCGTGCTTACTTCTGCCTCTGAGTCTTTGCTCACCCTGTCCCCTTCCTGGAATGTTTCTGCTATTTCTCTTGATCTCTCCACCTTCTACCCATTCTTCCAAGTCCACCCGAGCCTGCTATGAAGTCCTTAGAGGGGACTCTGTTTAATGTTGCTCAATGTCGTCCTAGCTGCCAACAGCAATAACAGTGATGACAATGGCAACATGTGCCATTTATTGAGCACTTACTCTCTGCCAGGCGTGGGGCTAAATGGCCTACATGTGAAAATTCATTCCATTCTTACCACCACACCAGAAAACAGGCATTTCTACTCTCTTTTCACAGATGAAGAAACTGAGGCTCAGAAGGTAGGAGACTTACCAAAGGTCTACGGAGTGGCAAAGTCACCTGCTTATCCCCAAGCCCACACACTTAACCCTGCTGCTTTTCTGTCACCTGTCAGGTACACTTAGCGTTGCCATGTTGTCTGCCTCCAGAGGGTGCCCTGCCCATTGCAGTCCATGGGACAGGCTTGTCTAGGGCTGAGGCTGCCCCGTGTGGACTGAGGCTCTGGTTTGATTCGTGCTTCATGATATTGCAGATTGACTTGTCTTTCACTTGAGCAATCTCAACCTCTAGTTCAAGGAATGCTAGTGAGCTCTTCTATCATGCTCTGGAAGCCTGCCCACGGACTGACTGGTTGGCTGACATTCTCTCAGTTCTGCCTCAAGCTTGCTTCTCCTACAGGCAAGTGGTGTGTGTGAGTGCGTGTGTGCGTTTGTGCATGCGTGCGTTGAAATTCCAGCTCTGTAAATACCAGTTATGTGACCCGGGGAAAGTCACTCCCTTCTTAGAGCTTCTATCTCCTCATCTGTAAAACAAGACAATGACTCGTACCTCACGTAGCCGCCCCGTGGAGATCAGCCGAGATGCAATTCACGTGAGGCGCCCTGTAGAGCCCTGGCACAGAGCGGGTGCTCAGTAAACTATAATAAAATGCTCATGTTTATTGAGTGCCTGTTATGTATGGGCACACTGCAAAGTGATCTACCTGAACACTCTCATTTCATTTTCAGCGGATATGAGGTGGGTCCCACTGGCGGTCCCCATTCTGCAGGTGAGCTCATCTGAGTCTCAGAGAGGTCACAAAGCTGGGACAGACAGCAAAGGACTTGGATAGTTTGTCTAGCATCCTGGTTCTCTTCACCAGGTTGGTATTCAAAATATCTAACAACTAGTGAGGAATACCCACTGGTGAATCCGAACAGATGTTGGCCAGGACGTTGCCCCAGTTCTAACCACTGGATTGTACCGCCTCTCATTCTCAAGTCAGGGATTCCACATTCCCTTCCCATAGACTTCCCCCAGAGACTCCAAGCTCCTTGAGGGCTAGGACTGTGCCATATCCCTTCCTTCCTCACACAGTATCGGGCACAATGAGGTAGACAATAAACAGCGGCTGCATCACATTCCAACAGGGACATC